ATTCCTCGTACGACATAAACATTTGTGTTAATGAGTATGATTGTTTGCATCGGTCTGGGTGTTTCCTATGTATATTATGTATGTATTTACAAAATAAGTTGTCTAGTATCCATAACACAAGCTCTGCTTAGCTTGGGACTAGATGGCGCTGTGTTAATTGTCCTGAGATATTATTATTATTATCCACCCTTTTTTTAGCTAGGCTACCCTTAACGACCACCCCTGTACTTTTTATAGCGGTATCTAATAATAGTTAACAATTTGTCCTTCTGTAAAACAATGTGTGAACAAGTTTTCCATTAATAAACGAACCTTGCTGATTAACATAATGGCGTTACGAATTAATTATTTACTTATCTGTGGTACCTGCGGGGCTCTCAATGATAATCTACTGTTAATGTCTGTTTGTAATATTGAAATAACCGTTTTTTACTACATACATATGAATATAGATACGGTACATACACCAAAATAACATTTTTCACAATTTTTGTCTGTCTGTTTGTTCGGACTAATCTCTGAAATGGCTGGACCGATTTTGACGGGACTTTTTTTGGCAGATAGCAAATGTAATAAGGAGTATCTTAAACTTCTTTTATTTTAGAAAAATAAAGTTATATTCCACGCGGACGAATTCGCGGGAATAACTAGTATTATATATAACCTGTGGATATGCAACAGTTACATAATGCTAAACAATAATATACATACAATCAAATATACTATATTTTATATAGTATATTTTATACACTTTTATTCCCTTCCTTTCTCGCGGATTAATTTTGTTTCCTTCACATGAAATGTAAATTGAAACAAAGTAAATTTGTCTTGGTCAGGTTCGAACGCCCGCCCTTTGTTTACATCGGAGTTGTGATTCACTAAGCCACGATGCACTTGGCTTTTTGTTCTATATAAAGGTACAATTACAGTACGCTTTGTTCGCATTCCGATGTACACTCGGACAGGTGACCTTCGCTCCACTTTTTTAATAGTTATTAATAAATGTATTGATTGCATTAATCTATATAGATCTATACATATAAATAAAATTGGAGTGTCCGTTTGTAATATTGAAATAACTGTTTATTACTCATGTATACTACATGAGTAATAAACATATAACATACACAAAACAGTAATAAAACATGTATACTAAATGGATATAAATACGGTACGTACACCAAATTAACATTTCTTACAATTTTTGTCTGTCTATCTATTTGTTCCGGCTAAACCGACTCGACCGATTTTGACGGGACTTTTATTGGCTTAGGCTACTTTTATTTTAAAAAAATAAATTTAAATTCTACACGGACGTAGTCGCGTGTACAGCTTGTATCTTAATATAAATGGGAATGTTTGTGAGTATGAATGTATGTTTGTTACTCTTTCACGCAAAAGCGACTGAACGGATTTTTATGAAACTTTACAAGTAATATAGTTTATCCCATCAAAAACATAAATGTGAAATGATAGCCCAGTTTAATATTATGATATATGCCTTGATTGTAGACTTCTACGACAAAACAGGTGAGATCTAAATGGGTGCCAAGTTCAATGGTCTGTCCTGAAATGTATTTATAACAATATATAATATCATTTCTTCTTATAACTTAGGATATACTGTAGCCTAAGGTCTGACTTGGCCAGTTCTCATATACCAATTATTACTTTCGATTGCTAGTTACTACTAATAATAAAATAGGAACCGACAAGTAACATGTTTAGAACTTGCGAAGGCTACAGTATATTTCGTATATGAGATCTGTATTATTGTAAACATGTATAACATTTATTTGAAAAGAATACGAGCTGAGTTTCTTGTCAGTTCTTCTCATCTTGAAATCATTCCGAACTGACGGTAGATTTGACATATCATAAGAGTCTGTAATAGACCTACATGAATAAAGATCGGAACCTTGCCTAAAGAGACTTCTTTTAATAATATATTTTAGTTATTATATTATATTTTTTAAGGTTTTTAATTTTAAGTTCTTTGTTGTATGAATTAAGTTATGTATATATAATTGAATACGTGGTAACTGATCATATGTCGGAATAAAGTCGACGATCGTGAAATTAGATACTGCAGAATGTATATTATAAAAGAAACAATGCCATTTTAGAACTGAAATATTAAATTTCTGTCTCTCAATAATATATGTAATTGCAAATGATAATGTTACTTAATTTAATGATGTTTGCCGAAGGCGAAGAATATGAGATGTCATAAAAGTGTCGTATATAGTTGATCATGCACGGGATTTTCATTTAATGTTAGACTTAGACACCTACATAAGTATAACACGTAAATAAACTGATTTAAAAAAACAGTTGAATTATTAACCGGATACTTAATAAGAATAATTTTATGGCAAATAAAGGTGTTTACCTCTCTCGACGTTTCGACTAGGTTGCACTAGCCGTGGTCACGAGCTGACTGGAGTAAGCGATGTCAATGTAGATAGGTGACAGCAGTTTTTTCTTCATCTACCGTCACTAGATTGTTTAACGAAAGTTCGCGACACACAGCACTCACGGTATCCGTACACTTATTGTATATTGATGCTAAAATTAACTAAAAACAGTTGAGTTGAGTTTGCCAGTTCTTCTCTGAACTGGACAGTAGAGAAAAATCCCTTCCGATCGATCCCCCGTTCAATTCAAACGGGTATCGAAATTACGACGTTCTGAGCTGAGGTTCGAACCTCTTGCGGTGCTCTCAGACTAAAGTCCTATCCGTCAGGCGGGAGTTGGCCTTCAGCCGCTCCATAAGTCCTTCCGCGGGTTTGGAGTGCCATTTGCACTCACCCCCTATCGTCCAGTGAAGCTGTAAAGGCCAGCTGCGGCCAACATTAGAGAAGTCAAAAAAAAATGTACTTAAAAAACTTGACGTTCATAAGCTAAAAGTCCTTAATAAATAAATGATTTTGATTTTAGCTTCTAATACAACTGCGTTCACATTTTTAGAGAAATCATTGCCTATATCCAGGACCAGATTAACCTCTAGTCTTTAGGAAAATTCCCTAGGGATCATGAATAGGCTTAGAGAACGCGCGTGCACAAAAGAAAGTAAAAATATTCCATAGACTAAATGTTTATTTGGATAGAAATAGAAATAATCTTTATTCAAATAAACTTAATATAAGCACTTTTGAATAGTCAAGTTTTTTTTATTATACCGCTTATTCGGAATGCAGATTCATCACAAGAAGAATAAGCAAGAAACTTGTGTGTTGCTCTTTTAAATATCTATATAATATATATTTGTATAATTTGTATTTTTCCTTTTTTCAATTATTTCTATCAGTTGATGAAATACTTCTCAAATGATATGTAATTGTAATTATTTTTTCTTTATTTGATATGTTTGTATCCACTCGGAGGAAGTGCTTGTTTGTCACCAGAGTGGTAGTATAAAAAAAGAAAAGCCTCACATATAAATTAAATTGGAGTGTCTGTTTGTAATATTGAAATAACCGTTTTTCACTACATTCATATGAATATAAATAGAAATAGAATAGAAAATCATTTATTCAAATAAACTTACATTTAAGCACTTTTGAATAATCATTACATTTTTTTAATCTACCGCTCATTCGGAAAGCTGTCTCATCACAAGAAGAACGTGCAAGAAACTTGCGTGTTGCTCTTTTAAATAATTTTATTATTACTTTACATTTTTAAGTATAAGTGTGTGAATACGGTACACACACCAAAATAACATTTTTTACATTTTTTGTCTGCTTGTTCCTGCTAATCTCTGAAATGGCTGGACTTTTCACACTTTGACAGGACTTTTATTGACAGGTAGCCGATGTAGTAAGGAGTAACTTAGGGTACTTTTATTTTAGAGAAATGAAGTTAAATTCCACGCGGACGAAGTCGCGGGAACAGTTAGTTATAAATATAAAATTAATTAATAAGTATTTAATTAATTTAGAAGCTAAGACGGAGATACCGTGCAAACTATTGCGATTCTAAGGTCCTAAATAAATTTAAAAAAAAATATTTCAGCAGGACAGCGTTCAATTACATTTATATGAGTATGTAACCAAGAATGTAGTGACACTAGCAGCATCTTCAATGGGTTATTATAGTATTGTTCGCGTCGACCGTGAACTTAAACTACGCTCCGCGACCTTGTCCTCGCTGACAATGATGACGCGAATTTTAGCGCCATTTTTCTTTTAACAGCTGACGTCATCTAACTAAACAATTGTTATCGCAATCATCACTGCTTAGAACAATATATTAGTACACGTATGTGTAGTATAAGTATGTACTTCTTTATAATGGGTTAGCTGTTCCCGCGGGGGGGGGATTGTTGGTAATGTGGACTTATAACCCCATTACTAGCAATGTACCATGTCAGGTTGACCTCCACGCGGTTACTCTGGAAACCATCGTGATAAATTCCCGGTGAATTTGTCACGATGGGCTAACTGATCTGACCTCATGTTTATCTTATCATCCTCCACTGGTGCCTCGCCAGCGTAAACCGTTAGCGCAGGCAGGTGCACCATTCCACTATCATTCACAAAAAAAAAGCTGTTCCAGCGACTACATCCGCGTGGAATTTAACTTTTGCTAAAATAAAAGTAACCTAATTTACTCCTTATTATATCAGCTACCTGCTAAAAAAAAGTCCCGTCAAAATTGGTCCAGCCATTTCAGAGATTACCCGGAACAGACAGAGAAAAATTTTAGAAAATGTTATTTTGGTTTTAAGTACCGTATAAGACTGCCTTTTGTACCTATCATCATCATCTCAACCAAGGAAGTCCACTGCTGAACACAGGCTTCCCCAAAAGATCTCCACGACGATCGGTCCTGCGCTCCTCGCATCCAATGCCTTCCAGCGATCTTGACCACATCGTCGGTCCACCTTGCTGGAGGCCTTCCCACTCTCCGTCTTCCGGTCCGCGGTCGTGTACCTATACTTTATATATTCTATTTTTTATTCCAATAAAGAGTAATAAATAAATATTTGTTTACAGGACATAATAGAATTAGAGAAATGCTTTTGGGCGCTCCGCAACTCGGCTGCCACCGGTCAGCTAGACGCGGAGAGCCTGACGCCGCTGGTGTCGCCGCCGCTCCCCCGGGCCGCCGTCACGGGCACGTTCCTCGCGCTCGACGAGAACAGAGACGGACACGTGGACTTCAAGGAGCTGTGCTGCGGACTCAGCGCCGCCTGCAGGGGGCCCCGCACGGAGAGACTCAAATGTGAGTACATTTTATACTCTAATGCCCTGTATATAAGGTATATAATAATAATAATACTGATTAGCACCCAAGGTAGAATAGAGCTTATGTTATAGGTACTAAATTACATAAGTTGTTTGAGACAACGACGAGTCAGTTCAGTGTCAGTTCTTCTCATCTCGAAATCATTCCGAACTGACGGTAGATTTGACATATCATAACAGTCTGTAATAGACCTAAATGAATAAAGATATTTTGAATTTGAATTTGTCAATTCCGAGAGATTTCGCGTGCTGCTTTCTCCGCTCTAAAATGCGCGAAAAATCTTTTTATGTGAAATCAGCTTATGTAATGCTGTGCTTGTAGTGAATGAATGGACTATTGAATCGTGTCATTGTCTGACTTGCTCCTCAGAAAAATATATAAAAAAATATAGAATGCCACTATGTGATTTTGTTTTTTATTTGTCCCGGATAAAAAACAAAATCCCATATATCTCTGCCTATTTATGCAATTGCCCCTTATAGGCTGAAAGAATAGAATAGAAAATCATTTATTCAAATAAACTTACATTAAAGCACTTTTGAAAAGTCATCACATTTTTTTCAATCTACCGCTCATTCGGAAAGCTGTCTCATCACAAGAAGAACGAGCACGAAACCTGCGTGTTGCTCTTTTAAATAATTTTATTCTCACTTTACATTTTTAAGTTTAAGTGTGTGAATACAAACCACCACTTAGCACTAATTCAATTAGATAGTCAAATAGAAAAAATATTAAATATACAACCAACTGGTTAAATAACTAAATAACAGGAAATCAGTCGTAGCGATTAGAGCAGACCAGTCTCTACAAGCAGCGCCCGTTCACGAGTATGACGGCAACAAATCTGGCAACTCTAATGAGTGGACTACTGGGTCGTGTCATTGAACAAAACGATCGCCGTCATTACGTTCCATCGATGTTCTCAATTAGCCACAGTATCGGGAAGTTGGCTTGTACGCATCATGGGCGGATGACGTAGTAAAAATCTATGCACGTTGCGGCTGTACCATATTAATGTTTGGAAAATTTTCGTATGACTTCATAGAAATGAGACTCATGTGGTTTCTCCAAGTGGTTGTTATATTATTTTTGTTTATTTTTAAAGGGCTCTGTGGTTAGCGGTTTAGTATAACGTATTTGGATTGTCGCAGGTTTGAGTCCTCGCACGATACAAATAATATTCATGTGTGTTTTCTACTTATATTATGTACCCGCGCAATTTCGTCTGCGTTTCCTTTTGCACCTTTTGCAATGTTTTTCATTGCAGCTCCGCTCCTATTGGTCGTAGCGTAATGTTAATAGCTTAAAGCCTTCCTCGACAAATGGACTATAATAATAATAATAATAATCTCAGGACAATTCACACAGTGCCATCTAGTCCCAAGTTAAGCTAGCTAAAGCTTGTGTTATGGGTACTAGATAACTGATACAAATACATAGATATTTTTTTTTTTTCGTAAATACATACATATTATATATAGAAAATACCCAGACCGATACAAACAATTATACTCACGAATACAAATGTTTGTACCGTGCGAGGAATCGAACCCGCGACCATCGGACGTAAAGCGGTGTGCTAGACCGCTAGACCACCGAGGTCGTCTATCTACTATCCAACACAAAAATAATTTTTCGATTCGAACCAGTACTTCCTGAGATTAAAGTGTTCAAATAAACAAACTCTTCAGCTTTATATTAGTATAGATGTGTTAACTTTTTTCATAAAAATCCGTCAAGCCGTTTCGGAGCAGTATGGTAAGTATTATGACACGAGAATTTTATAAGATTATCATTTTGCTGCAATTGTGTTGAGAAATTAATTAAACGATGTTTTTACGATGATAGGTTATCGGTTTTTGTGTTTTGTACAATGTAAGGCGTGAAGTAATTAATAATATATATTCATTAATATTATTCATATCTCGACCTTGAGTGTAGCGGTCTCACCTCTGATATATCGGGATTCGATCCCAGTTTAAATTGTTCTTGTTGATAAACTCAGAATGAGTGAAGCCAAAGTACCTCATATAATTTAGCCCGTATTTTGCATAGTGCTCTACAGTGAAGTTATTGGTTATGGGTTATGCTTCATAATTAGTAGGATCGTTTGTCCAAGGGCCGGTTCTGGGGGGTTTGTGTTCTTGGAGTAATTTTTTTTATTGGGTTATTTGGGCGATTGTCAGGTGCCTGTAGCACCTGTAACACTGCGACCTACAGAGATATATTGTGCTCGCCCTTTTTCGGAGTTCGCTACCTATCGCTATCAGGGATAAGAATTCTTAGGATATTCTTAGGAGAGATGGTTTTTATCTCCTCGGGAAAGAGTGTAAACTTTCCAAAAGAGATATTTCGTTTTTTCTTTTAAATACAATTTTCCACAGACATATTCGTCCGTGCCTTTTTTAATTTACTTTAATATTATTATATTTATTTAATTTCCACTTTTGTACAACTCCAGCCGAGATGTTACAATTTGCCTAACAGTGGCACCGAGGCAGACCTTATCCGTCTGGCCCAGAACCACCGCTGGCCGGCCGGGTGAGTTGACAACATGCAGTGTCACTATCTTTTGATATTTATCTTGAGATATTTCGTTTATGTCTGCCTGCTTCCAAAATTTTGGTTCCAAACTTCAATTATATCATTGTCGTTGGTTTTTTAATGTATTATATTATTTTATTAATAAGGGCTATAACAGAATAGCAGAGAAAGTTGACTCACTGCCCCCTCTAGAGTTATATACCATGTTGTCTCTTAATTTTATTAAGAGCAACAATTGTAATAATTTATTTGAGATTTATCTTATCATCCTCCATTGGTGCCTCGCCAGCGTAAACCGTTAGCGCTAGCAGGTGCATTATTCCACTATCCTTCGCAAAAAAAATGTAATATGTAATGTTATTGTATTATTTGAATCAGTTTCCGAAGTGGACCGGTTGGTCTGTGCTTAGCGTATTGCTAATGCTTTTGTGGCGCTGCAATCTTTATTTCAGTACAAAACCTTTTTTATATACCACGATGGTGGCGAACAAGCGTACGGCCCATATGATAGTAAACGGTTACCATAGTCTATAGACGCCTGATACGACAGGGGTGTCACGTGCGCGTTGCGGATCCTTTAAGGATTCTTAATATACCCTTCTTGAAAAACCCCATGCTGTAGTCTCGCGAGAAAACCTCGGCAGGTAGTTCATTCCACAATCTAAGTTTTTTATGTATCTACTTTTAATGTTGGTGCAATAAAGCACTGGAGTAGTGTTATTGCGAAACCGCAGATTATGTTGTAACCTACACGAAAATACAGAATATATAAATAATTTATTTGAATATCACCGTTATTGACCCATATCGTATGTTGGAAGTGCCGTTTTACAGAAGGGAATGAGCAATATTACATACAATTTTTTTATTGGATTGTTTGGGCTATTGTCAGGTGCCTGTAGCACCAGCACTGCGACCTACATAGATACAGGTAGTGTTGGAAAACCTTCAATTGGCCATTTAATTGAGTCGCTGTTGGTTTAAAAATAAATGAAAGGTGCAGATCGCTGAAAAAGGCCCGATAAGATAACAAGATTCAACTATCTATTGTATAATGTTATCACATTAAACACAGACTGATGATTGCCTGATTTGATGTTTAAATATTTGATTTATGTAAAAATACCATGTAAATGGACGTATGGAAATAATATGAAAGGTTTAATATTTGTTTTTATGTATGAAATGGCGAACAAGTCATTTGATGACCTTTATGGCCCTTGCTGGTAAGTATCACTTACCGTTAAGTGGTAATTTGGTTGGTAAATTGAGTTACCACTTGGTGGTAAGTGGTAACTCAATTGATTTATTACTAGCTGTACCCTCGACTTCGTCCACGTGGAATATAACTTTATTTTTCTAAAATAAAACTAGCCTAAGTTACTCTTTATTACATCAGCTACCAAAGAAAGTCCCGTCGAAATCGGTCCAGCCATTTCAGAGATTAGCTGGAAGAAACATAGATTAGGTTTGTATGAGAAAATAAAATTGTTGTTTTTACTATTCTCCAAGCAATTTCTTCATATTTTATCACTGTTTAAACCTTCACTGGTCTTTCACGAATATTTCAAAACTTTATCCAAAGCGGTTTAGTCGTTCTCTAGTTTTATCGAGACTAACGAACATAAATTTATTTTTATATATACTAACAGACCCGGCCACGCGTTGCTGTGGCTAACATGTGCTGTGAATAAAATAATATTGCGATTACAAATTGAGATGTAAGCTATCCTATCTTTCAAGTTGGATCAAATTGCACACAATATGCAAATCAAATTTGCAATCAGTTCAATAGTTTAAGAGTGCATCACGGACAAACAACGTGACACGTAATTTTTGTATATAAAGATTTAGGTTAACGACACTTTCCTTTCTTTGCAGTTTGCTTCAAAATTTTCGACCTGGATCGGGATGGGGTGTTAAACAAGAAGGAACTGATAGACATGGTGGGTATACTGTGCACGGTCGCCAACGAGTCACTGAAGAACCAGAGCTCGAGGGCGTCCACGCCGTCCGACGGGAACGACTCGGACACCGAGAAGGGGTTCGACCCTGAGGTCATACTGGTCAATCTACGGGAGAAGCTCGTAACCATCCCCAAGGATGGACTGAAGCCAGTGTTCCAACTGGGACCTACTTCAGAAGGAGAGGAGATCGTTGTTACGAAAGAGGTTAGTTAAAAATCTTGGTTTTTAATTTGATAGATCAAATTTTAAAGTTTAATTTCTGAAATGGTACGGTACGATTTTAGTCTTAGGAGAGGGCAGCACTGGGTTTGGACCTCGGGTCAGGCCGTAATTGTGATTCCAGTTTAAATTGTACGGGGGATCGATAGGAAGGGCGACCGGGGGCGTCGGTGTAGATCGCCCGGTCGCGCGTAGGCGCCCGGTAGATTGCGCTGTATGGTGTGGTTGAGGTCGTCGTTTTCCCCGGTGAGGACGGTGTCGTGTGTTTGTGATTAAAACGGAACGTCTTTGGCATCAATAAGACCGTGCCTCGGATGGCGTTACGCGTTAGGTTATGTCTACTATTAGATGCTTGTAATTATAAAAACATCGTATACACATAACAATGTGATGATTAGTCACCTGACCCATACAAATATTAGGATGACCATACATATTACTTGCATATATATTAACATACATCTGTCGACTCGCTAAGTGAATTCATTAGCGTATCACTTATTATAGATAAAGAAACTGAATACAGTTTAATATCATGAACAAATAACAATTACAAGGTACATGCTAGTGATCAGAATTGGCAACGATTAGAATTTTTTTAATAGGTGGTGGTGTAATATTAAAACCACCTGCGCTAGCAGTATATGATTATGAGGCACTGAATTTTGTACACATATTCATGAAGGTATTAAAATGAACATAGGATACTTTTCATTAAAAAAAAACTGTATATAAAGAACAAAAAATAAAATTTCAACATTTTGCTACTACAGCGCCATCTAGCAGCCAGTAATGAAGTTATGCGAGCGAAGCCGCTGGTAAAAGCTAGGTTATAAATTTCACCTGGGAAATCAAAATAAAATTAAAAAAAAAAGTTTTTACGTGAAATTCACGCGTAATCACGAGCGACAGTGTGAACATAAAAATCTATTTTTTAATGAAATACCACGATTATACACGTGAGTTTTCAGACGCGAAATCTTGCGCCCTCCAGATTGCGCGTCAAAGAACGTGTCGTATAAAGGTTAAATGTAGAAAACTGTCGAATTTACATTTCTTTACCTGTACAATATGTGTAAATGTTTTTTTTTAAGAAATAGATTATATTTTTTTACTAACTGTACCCGCGACTTCGTCCGCTTGGAATTTAACTGAATTTTTCTACAATAAAAGTAGCCTAAGTTACTCCTTATTACATCAGCTACCTGCCAATAAAAGTCCCGTCAAAATCGGTCCAGCCATTTCAGAGATTAGCCCGATTAAACAGACACACACTCCAATTTTATTTATGTGTATATATGAATAGATGTGTATAATTTACATTGCTCGCTATAAAGTTCAAATTTGTGGCGGCGTGGTTTAAATATGGTTGAGTGCAATGATGGCTGGTTCATCCGTCATACTCGTAAACGTGTGCAGCTTGTGGGGACTGGTCTGTTCAGGATGTAGAATAGCATATGCTGGTGATCACTCTATTCTCCAAAATTTTAATTTATAAAAATTCTGTATTATTGTAAACATGTACAACATTTATTTGAAAAGAATACGAGCTGAGTTTCTTGTCAGTTCTTCTCATCTCGAAATCATTCCGAACTGACGGTAGATTTTACATATTATAAGAGTCTGTAATAGAGCTACGAGAATAAAGATATTTTGATTTCAATTCAATTCAATTACTAGTACAATATATGGAAATGTTTTTTTTTAGAAACAATATTTAGTATACGTACATGGTTCTTTTTTTATATGTATAATTACTTGTAGGAAGACACGAAGGACGAGGGCCTGATAGCCAACGACATGGCACTGGCTCTACAGGACTTCCTGATCTGGAGCGTGGAGAGCGTGGAGGCGCTGGTCACACCGTTCCTCGAATTGCTGTTCGAGGTGTGCCACATTGTGTTGGGTCTCCGGCCGCAGTGCAAACACCAGGAGAGGGATATCGGTGAGTCCTTCTGTATTAAAATTCATGGCTGATATGGAATCTGGAATATAATAGAATAGAAAATCCTTTATTCAAAAAAACCTAATTTAAGCACTTTTGAATAGTCATATATTTTTTGTAATCTACCGCACATTCGGAAAGCTGTCTCATCACAAGAAGAACGAGCAAGAAACTTGTGTGTTGCTCTTTTAAATAATCCTTGTTTAAAAGAGCAAAAACAGTTCTTCTTTAAGTTCTTTTTAAAGTCGATACGTGTGAATACAAAGCTAGTATGTAGGTGTCTGAACAAAGTAGACAGAGTACCTTGTATTTCGACGTTAGAAGTTTCTTGTTAGTTCTGCTTACCTTGTGAATTGTTTAAATTATCCTGAGATATTAAAAAAAAGATTGTAAATTTGTTTTCCGGGGTAATTTCTGATATTACCGATCCAGAACTAGAAAGAAGAAAGAAAGAAAAATGTATTTATTTGGCGCATACAAAACAATCATACAAAAATTATAACAAATTATTTTAAAAATACAGCTGCGACCAAATTGTTTTCCACTCAGCTTTGTGTATGGGCTATTGTGTAATGGCCAAACGCTGATTTTCAGTGAAACCTTGTAGAAAATAATTTAAAATATAAAAATTGTGTACCTACTGCTGCCTTCGTGAACGTGCGCTGTTGGTGCTTCTGATAAGGTGTAAGTCTATGCTATGATAATGTATGGAAATGAAAATACATATATAAAACAATACACTACTGACAGTTATACAGTGGAAATTTGATTTTCTAATAGAAATTTCTTAAGTTTTTGTTTAAATGTAAATACAGATTTAATACAGAATACAGATAACTACAAATGTATTTTAGTGTTCTTTAGTACAAAGACAGTAATGGAAACGCTAGTGTACGTACGTGATTTTTTTAAATATATTGTGAAAATATAAAAAATGCAGAATTACGATTTAACAAATCAATATCTCAGCTGGTAATATCTATATACTAATATTGTAAAGCTGAAGAGTTTGTTTGAACGCGCTAATCTCAGGAACTACTGGTTCGATTTGAAAAGAGATTTTTGTCCTGGATAGTCCATTTGTCGAGGAAGGCCTTAAGCTATACAACCAATAGCTAATACAGCTCGATTGTAAAATATTGAAAAAGGTGAGGAAATGGAACGCAGACGAAGTTGCGCGGGTCAACTAGTTATTTATAAATTTAACATTTACACCTGTTTTAAAAGCCAACTGCTATCCGTAGATAAATCTATAATAATAATCTCAGGATTAATAATCTCTCAATTCACACAGCGCCATCTAGACCCAAGTTAAGCTAGCTAGAGCTTGTGTTATATATTTATTATATTTAGGTATATTTTTTTTTGTAAATACATACATATTATACATAGATACGCAGTCTAATATAATAGTGGACTATATATTTTGCGAGCAAGAGGTAGATTTTCCAAAAATTATGAGAACAAAAAAAAACGTGTTAATTTTACGAATGACAAAACGGCAAGGGGCGATGAAACTTTTTTGTTTTGTTAATTTTTTAAATCGGCACTTATGTCAACTTATGAACCAAAAAATATCTACGATTAAGAATGAACAACATCTATAAATTTGGTTTACGAGATTAAAAAACAGTCTACAGTTGATGATAGTAATCAGAAACGAACGTTTCAGTGCTGGGCTGGCTGCGGCGGGAGGTGCACCGCGGATACTCTGTGGGCCAGTTCTGGTACCTGGTGAGCGCGGAGTGGTGGAACAACTGGCTCGCCTACACCGCCGCCGGCAACACCGACCACTGCTGCCGCGGACAGCCGCGCCCTCTAGACGAGGCCATCGTCTGCGACGAGAGCTTCACCAGCAACTCCACCGGTCAGTGCTCAGTGATGGACCAGGTCATATTGACTGAAAGCTAAACTTATTATATATAAAGTATTACGAAAATCTGATGGTGATAAATTATATAATCTGTGTGTCGCATATACTGTACTAACATTTAACTTCGTCGCGAAGGCGTCGTCATAATTGCCTGCCTGCGTTGTGTCACATAGGGCAGGTAGGCAATTTCGTAGGGTGTATCGTTTCCTTATTCACATAGGTATAAAGAGTAGCTGTGTGAGGAAGTGTAGCTCTTCACGAACCCATGCATTCTGAACAGCACGCATTCTCTAGACCCCTACAAATTATTATTCTACACCTAGTTTCCCTGTGTACGCTTTCTCCTCCTGGGGCAGCGGACAAAACAATGGCTCCTTCTGCAGCGTACTGCTTGAAGTAAATGTTGGTATAGGAAAGATTGCGTGGATTGCAGAATCGATGGGATCGCTGTGGCCGGAGACGGCGTCGGTGGGCAGCGGCGGCAGCAGCAGCGGCGTGTCCAGCGCCCCCGCCCCGCGCCACCACCCGCACCCCGGGCCCGTCGACAACAGGCGCCTGCTCGCGCCGGACCTGCTCAAGGTGCGCCACGCCGCCCACACCACTCACACCACTCACACCACTCACACCCTCCGTGTCCAGCGCCCCCGCCCCGCGCCACCACCCGCACCCCGGGCCCGTCGACAACAGGCGCCTGCTCGCGCCGGACCTGCTCAAGGTGCGCCACGCCGCCCACACCACTCACACCACTCACACCACTCACACCACTCACACCCACCGTGTCCAGCGCCCCCGCCCCGCGCCACCACCCGCACCCCGGGCCACACCACCTGCTCACGCCGCCCACACACTCACACCACTCACACCCTCCGTGTCCAGCGCCCCCGCCCCGCGCCACCACCCGCACCCCGGGCCCGTCGACAACAGGCGCCTGCTCGCGCCGGACCTGCTCAAGGTGCGCCACGCCGCCCACACCACTCACACCACTCACACCACTCACACCCTCCGTGTCCAGCGCCCCCGCCCCGCGCCACCACCCGCACCCCGGGCCCGTCGACAACAGGCGCCTGCTCGCGCCGGACCTGCTCAAGGTGCGCCACGCCGCCCACACCACTCACACCACTCACACCACTCACACCCTCCGTGTCCAGCGCCCCCGCCCCGCGCCACCACCCGCACCCCGGGCCCGTCGACAACAGGCGCCTGCTCGCGCCGGACCTGCTCAAGGTGCGCCACGCCGCCCACACCACTCACACCACTCACACCACTCACACCCTCCGTGTCCAGCGCCCCCGCCCCGCGCCACCACCCGCACCCCGGGCCCGTCGACAACAGGCGCCTGCTCGCGCCGGACCTGCTCAAGGTGCGCCACGCCGCCCACACCACTCACACCACTCACACCACTCACACCCTCCGTGTCCAGCGCCCCCGCCCCGCGCCACCACCCGCACCCCGGGCCCGTCGACAACAGGCGCCTGCTCGCGCCGGACCTGCACAACGCCACGCCGCCCACACCACTCACACCACTCACACCACTCACACCCTCCGTGTCGCGCCCCCGCCCCGCGCCACCACCCGCACCCCGGGCCCGTCGACAACAGGCGCCTGCTCGCGCCGGACCTGCTCAAGGTGCGCCACGCCGCCCACACCACTCACACCACTCACACCACTCACACCCTCCGTGTCCAGCGCCCCCGCCCCGCGCCACCACCCGCACCCCGGGCCCGTCGACAACAGGCGCCTGCTCGCGCCGGACCTGCTCAAGGTGCGCCACGCCGCCCACACCACTCACACCACTCACACCACTCACACCCTCCGTGTCCAGCGCCCCCGCCCCGCGCCACCACCCGCACCCCGGGCCCGTCGACAACAGGCGCCTGCTCGCGCCGGACCTGCTCAAGGTGCGCCACGCCGCCCACACCACTCACACCACTCACACCACTCACACCCTCCGTGTCCAGCGCCCCCGCCCCGCGCCACCACCCGCACCCCGGGCCCGTCGACAACAGGCGCCTGCTCGCGCCGGACCTGCTCAAGGTGCGCCACGCCGCCCACACCACTCACACCACTCACACCACTCACACCACTCACACCCTCCGTGTCCAGCGCCCCCGCCCCGCGCCACCACCCGCACCCCGGGCCCGTCGACAACAGGCGCCTGCTCGCGCCGGACCTGCTCAAGGTGCGCCACGCCGCCCACACCACTCACACCTTCCGTGTTAACTCACAATCACAATATTATTTGAGCTTGGCTCTTAGCCTATGATCTACGTGCACATTGTTAGCATATATGTTAGAAGTATTACCAACGGTGACTGTATCAGTGTGTGTGACGCAGGTGCGCACGCTGACGGGCGAGGGAGGCCAGCTGCGGCGGGACGTGCCGCTGGTGCAGGGCATCGACCTGCAGCTGCTGCCCGACGCGCTGTGGCGGGCCGTCGCGCTCTGGTACGGCGCGCCGCACCCGCTGCCCAGGCAGGTACGTGTGTGTGTGTGTGTGTGTGTGTGTGTGTGTACGTGTGTACGTGCCGCTGGTGCAGGGCATCGACCTGCAGCTGCTGCCCAGGCAGGTACGTGAATGTATGCGGACAGGTCCTTTGAGCCGGATTACCCACACTTTGATATTTCAGAAAATTTCATTACCAGAATAATACTTAAGTGCGTACCTATTGTTATTATCGAATTGATGTTATTTTCTCTTTTTAGGTAATAAGGCCACCGAATTGTGACGTGGAATTAGAATTGTACCCGCTACAACTGAAAATCTTCCAACACGTTACTGACACGCAAAGTGAGTTAAATTACTTAATATATTTATATGTATTAACAAAGTATGTTTTGCATTACTATACTTATGTAGTATGCTTCTTAATAACCTTCGTCGATGGGTAAGATGGGTCGTATGCCTATTTACCACCAGTTGTATAAAAAAACCTTAGAAATATAATGTATTATGAATGCAATATTAAAATAATATATAGTTCATACATTTTTACTTACATCTTAATACCCCTAGTATTTCAGGCGTCCATAGACTACGGTAACCATTTACCATTAGATGAGCCGTATGCCTCTTTGCCACCATAGTTGTATAAAAATAAGAAACCTTATTAGAAATATAATGTAATATGAATACAATATTAAAATAATACGTTATTGTATTTATAGATACATGTTTAGTATAGGATAGGCGTTTTAGCGTTTTCAAAGTTAATTCATAAGCGTGTTTGTGTAGGGACGAGCCCTATGAGCGCGCTGGGCGGGGCGGGGGTGTCCGTGTACAGCAGCGTGCCGCTCGCGCCGGCCTCCGCGCCGTCGCCGCCCGAGCGACACCTCGCCTACACGGCCTCGTTCTCACGCCTCGCCACAGTCAAACAGGTATTCACTACACATGACCCACTTGTACGACCGAAATTTCGGTTGAAGTTTCGACCAGATTCGGCCTAAAACTTTAGTTTCGTATGTTTATGAGGGACCACCCTCATAAACATACGAAACTAAAGTTTTAGGTTGTTAGGTAAATGATAGGCATGACATATAATTGTCGATATATACATATATGCCAAAAATAAGTGAAATAAGATTGGTAGAAGAAGTGGACATATGAGTTGACCCTAAATAATGGCATAAAGGCAATGATGATGGTGATGATGTATATATTATATTATCATATATAAAGGCCATAAAGGCGACGGATGAGAGACGACTGCATGCAATTGAAATGTGAATGTTGAGATGGATGTGTGGTGTGACAAGGATAGACAAGATAAAGAATGAATACATCACAGGAAGTATGAAAGTGGCGCCGGTGTCGGAGAGGTTAAAGAGTAATCGTCTATCGTGGTATGGACATGTAATGCGTAGGAATGAAGATCATATCCTAAGGACGGTGTTACATATGAATGTGGATGGATAGAAGGCTAGAGGAAGACCGAAAAAGAGATGGATGGACTGTGTAAAAGATGATAAAATAACGGGATGACTGCGAAAAGAGATGAACGGAAGAGAAAAACATATTACTCCGACCCCAAATACATGGGATAAGGAAGAAGCAGACGATGATACAGAAGCATTACCTTTCGGTTTCGGCCGAAAACGGGAGTTCTGGTCGGAGCATAAGTGAGGTGTGCAGGTGTGGTCGTTCCTGAGCTGCGCGCTGGGCCTGCCGCGCGAGGACGTGCGGCTGTGGGCCCTCGGCGGCGGCGGCGCCGTGCTGCTCGACGACGAGCGCCCCGCGCTGCACCAGCTGCGGCTCCCTCCCGCCCCCGCGCTGCTGCTCGAGCGGCGCAACCCGGACCTCACCTGGCCCGAGGAGATCGGCGCGCTCGGGTACCACGACGATTTGCATTCCGGTTCCCACACTCCACCAACTTTTTGTACAATACAATAGTAATCTTTAGAACGACTCGCACAGCGTCATCTGGCCCCAAGATAAGCAGAGCTTATAGTACTGAACGACTGACATAAATACATTGTTTTTTTTTTTTACAAATACATTTATGGTGTACATAGAATACACCCAAACTGATACAAACAACAATACACATAAGTATGAATATTTGTATCCTTAATTATTATAAATATAATATTCTTTATTATACTTATATCAGAGATGTTATGGATATGAAATTTCGGATACGAATAGATTTCGGATATAGGAATGATTATTATACGTATACCGGATACGGATGCGGATATGAAATTGTTTCGGATCATCCATTAATTTCGGATAATTTCGGTTACGGATATTAATTTTTTAAGGAATTTCAAAATGGTTACATAACGCGTCTTAATTACGCTCCGTCCCTATCCGGTATTATCCGAAACTTTTATTTCGGATTCGGTTACGGTTACGAATATTTTTCATATCGGATATCCGATAGTTTCGGTTACGGAGCTCCCTAACATCCCTGACTTATATACAGTCAACCCTCCTATAACGCGGTGAGTGCGTACCGCGTTGTATGGAAACCGCGCTATAAGAAACTCGGATTTAACCGTACAAACCAGGCTAATTCGTAGCGCGTTCTATGGAAACCGTCTACCGCGTTGTATGGAAACCGCGCTATAAGAGACTCAGAATAAGTACAAATCACATCATTCGTACCGCGTTATATGGAGACCAATAAATACAAAAGACAAGATAAATTATAAATTATTTTTATTGAATTGAAGAGTATGAACTCTTCAATTCAATAAAAATAAGGAAATGATGAAAAAAATGAAACAAAAACTAAACTAAAAAACTGTTTTCCAACAAAAACAAAAGAAAGACTTTTGTAAAATGATGTAATCTTTCAACACTCATCCTCACTGTCAGATATGAGTCGCCTAACTCGCCTTCTTTTAATGGGCAAAATGTTTTCCTCACTTGGTTGATCTTCACATTGGTTTTAAGCGGCTAAGACATAAGCAGAACGTAGTTTTTCTATAGTTCACGCGACAATGTAGTCAAAAGATCACATATATATCTTTCATGTTACAGTTTCGTTAGACACACACACGCATGGCACGCTGTCGATGCGAAACTATTTAGTTAATAGAAGTGGAAGATAGCGCATGAGGAGAACCACCCACCACCCACCCGTGAACCACGCTGATATAAACATATCCAGTTAAAACCATTCATTGGGTGCACGGAAAGAACTGATGGGACGTTGTTGAACGGAAACCGCGCTGTAAGAGTACCGCGTTATAGGAGGGCTGTCGCAATTTCAGCTCCGCGTTATATGGAAACCGCGTTCTGAGAGTACCGCGTTATAGGAGGGTTGACTGTATATAATAAGAAACAACATATTTATAAATAAAAATGTGAGAAAAAGTAGGCTTATCTCTGAAAGAGATACATATACGGATACGTCTGGTACATCCAGCCGACGTAACTCTGTGATAATGGACGTATTGAACGAATAATGGTACAAATATTACTATATACATTATAAGACACAGTTACCTAGAAATAAAAATTGCATTTAATGTCTAGTAAGACAAATTCTATATTGTCTACTAAGCACTGTTGTGCGTTCATAACGTGTCACTTTCAAAGGTCGGATGTCAGTTGTATACGAATGATGTCTTGTTTCTGCCTCGCCAGTAATTGCTTCGTTGTTTATTATGAATGCAGGCTCGAGTCTATCTATTGACAAATTCTATATTGTCTACTAAGTAGTGTTGTGCGTCCATAACATGTCACTTTCAAAGGTCGGATGTCAGTTGTATACGAATGATGTCTTGTTTCTGCCTCGCCAGTAATTGCTTCGTTGTTTATTATGAATGCAGGCTCGAGTCTATCTATTGACAAATTCTATATTGTCTACTAAGCACTGCTGTGTCTAAACTGTGTCACATATACATAAATGAGAATGCTAAACCGCTAGATCACCGAGGCCGTCAATAAATAATATATAGAATTTGATTTTTTTATGCAATTCATGATAGTTTTGACACGATACACAATACTGTATAGTAAACACGGCCAGTGTAACTTTATTTAGTTGGAAGTAGAGTGTAATAGAAGTGAGTGAAATGAATGTAATGTAGGGTGTGGCGGTGTGTTGGTTGCAGGGCGGCGGCGGGCTGGGAGCGGCAGGAGCGGCGCGACACGCTGTCGGCCGCCCCCCCCGCGGCCGCCGCCGGCCTCCACAACCTCGGCAACACCTGCTTCATGAACGCCGCCATGCAAGCGGTAACCACCACTTACTACTCTCTGGCTAATTACATTATTTTAATACTTATTGAAAAACAATTGAGTAAGGATTGCAGAACATATATGTACGTATAATAAAAAAATTATATATTTAACGACTTAAGTGTGGCATGACTAAGATTACTTATTAAATGAGTCGAGAGCACTTTAAATTACAATAATATCTCAAGACAATTCCACACAGCGCCATCTTTTTTCAAGCTAAACATAGATTGTGTTATAGGTACTAGATAAGAAATTTAATTGAGTTTCTTGGCAATTCTTCTCAATCGAATCTGTATAAAAATTTAACGATCATCAGCGGCTAAAATGTCCTACATGAAGTAAATGATTTTTTAATTTGAATTTGAAATTTGATAACAAAAAACTCTAAAAGAGGTTTCTTCATTAAATTATACATTAAATTATATAAGAGGCCATTAAATTATACAATAAATTGTCTAATAGTGTAAAAATATCACCATACGCTCAATTTAAAGCAAAATTGTTTAAATATTTAATTAACAATTGTTTTTATTCTATAGAAGATTTTATATCTAACTGTAATTTATGAGAATTTAATATATTTTTCTAATATCTATCAATCTAATTAAATTATAATTTAAAAGTTTATTTATATTGGTAGTAGTTTAAATAATTTAATGATTTTAAATAATTTACACACCTTGAATGGTAAATATTGCTGAACAGCTTAGTAATTGTTGTGTAAGATCTGCCCTATGCAATTACCAGTATTTTGTAAATAAACATTCATTTCATTTCATTTCCAGTCAACCATAAACAGAATATACATATATAGTTATATTGAATGTTTTTTCTATTTTATTATTTCATTGAATTAGTGCTAATCGGTGGTTTGTATTCACACACTTAAACTTAAATTGTAAGTAAGAATAAATTATTTAAAAGAGCAACACACAAGTTTCTTGCTTGTTCTTCTTGTGATGAGACAGCATTCCGAATGAGCGGTAGATTAAAAAAAATGTTATGACTATTCAAAAGTGCTTCAATGTAAGTTTATTTGAATAAATGATTTTCTATTTCTATTTCTATTTCTATAGTTATATTATGTGACCAGGTATGGAATACGACTGCGTTACGTGAGTACTTCAATTCTGGATTGCATTTGTACGAGGTGAACAGAACGAATCCGCTCGGGACAAAAGGGATGCTGGCTTGCCGATATGGGGAGCTGTGTCAAGAGGTTTGTATTTTGTTTTATTATAATCTGGATATGAATGTGTTACTTAGATATTTTATTTGTTCAACTTCAATGCACACAATACAAAATATAGTGCCCACATTACCATGCAGCATTTTCTACCAGTCATCCATAGGCAGAAAATAATTGTTATATATTTTTTTAGTTATTTTAGTAAGTACATTTCGATTTCTTTTATAATGCAATCAAATTTGAGGAAAGTTAATAAGTATATATATAAAGATATAAATGTGTCTTGTGTAATTTTCATGTACTGTATCCTGAAGATTGTGTATGTATGCGTAAATGATCATTATTTTTTTAATGGATGAGAATATGATGGTGCAAGTGTCTGTGTTAATGCTATACGCCCATGGAGCTGGAGCTCCATCATCATGTCATTCTCTACTCCATGATGATGATGATAGAATGAGCATATAATATATGGTTTCTAGGGAGGGGGGAGGCGTGATGTGAGTTGTAAATGTGAGCTGTTGGCCGCAGCTTGCAGTTACAGCTTCATCGAAAGATAGGGGACGAGTGTGACGTGTGCGGCGGGTCGTGTGACCGGTGTGACGAGTGTGAGGCGTGTGACGTGTGCAGGTGTGGTCGGGCCGCGCTCGCTCGGTGGCGCCGCTGCGCGTGCGGTGGTGCGTGTGACCGGTGTGACGAGTGTGAGGCGTGTGACGTGTGACGTGTGACGTGTGCAGGTGTGGTCGGGCCGCGCTCGCTCGGTGGCGCCGCTGCGCGTGCGGTGGTGCGTGTGACCGGTGTGACGAGTGTGAGGCGTGTGACGTGTGACGTGTGACGTGTGCAGGTGTGGTCGGGCCGCGCTCGCTCGGTGGCGCCGCTGCGCGTGCGGTGGTGCGTGTGACCGGTGTGACGAGTGTGAGGCGTGTGACGTGTGACGTGTGCAGGTGTGGTCGGGCCGCGCTCGCTCGGTGGCGCCGCTGCGCGTGCGGCGGGTCGTGTGACCGGTGTGACGAGTGTGAGGCGTGTGACGTGTGACGTGTGACGTGTGCAGGTGTGGTCGGGCCGCGCTCGCTCGGTGGCGCCGCTGCGCGTGCGGTGGTGCGTGTGACCGGTGTGACGAGTGTGAGGCGTGTGACGTGTGACGTGTGACGTGTGCAGGTGTGGTCGGGCCGCGCTCGCTCGGTGGCGCCGCTGCGCGTGCGGCGGGTCGTGTGACCGGTGTGACGAGTGTGAGGCGTGTGACGTGTGACGTGTGACGTGTGCAGGTGTGGTCGGGCCGCGCTCGCTCGGTGGCGCCGCTGCGCGTGCGGTGGTGCGTGTCGCGTCACGCGCGCGCGCTGGGCGGCGGCGGGCAGCACGACGCGCAGGAGCTGCTGGCGTGGCTGCTGGACGCGCTGCACGAGGACCTCAACCGCGCCGCCCTGCACCCGCCCGCGCCCCTCCACCCGCCGCCCTCCAGGGACTCCGACGGACGACCCGACCAGGTGCCTCACGATCACACCCTACGTCTAACCAAAAACCGACCACTTACCTCTGTCACTATTTTTATTTTCTTCCGTCGCGATTACTCACCTCTGTCACAATTTCAATTGCACTTAAAGACCTGCCTTTATAAGCTAATTCCATGAAATTTTTATTTGAAATAAATGTAGCTACTAGTTTACTTGATTTCACTTGTATTACTTATAAACCTTAAATGTGATATTGATAAATAAAATCTATAGATTAAAATAATATTCTATAAGAAAGTGTATATAACACACATGCAATTACGCGAAATTGACACAAAAATATCGTAACAATAATCGTTACAGCGCGCGCGGGCTTTTCCGCCGTGAAATCCTCTTGAAAGAATGTTTAAAAGCAGCGTATATTACTACTGTTGTATCAACATAACCTGGTGATACAGGAGGTGGCAGCGGAGGCGTGGGCGAGCTACACGGCACGCAACCGGTCCATCATGACGGAGCTGTTCTACGGACAGCTCAAGTCGAAGGTGCGGTGCGACACGTGCGGCCACGAGTCGGTGCGCTTCGACACGTTCAACATGCTGAGCCTGCCGCTGCCCATGGAATCCACGCTGCGCTGCGACGTGCGCGGTCAGACATTGTTTACTAGCTGTGCCCGCAGTTTCACTCTTTAAATTTAAAAAAATATATAGCCTATGTTATTCTGATGCATAAACTATATTACTGTAAAGTTTCATCAAAATCCGTTCAGCAGTTTTTGTGTGAACTCTTTCACGCAAAAACATAACAAACATCCTTACATACAAACTTTCGCGTTAATAATATTATTAAGATAAGATTATCATAGACAATTTATACTACATATCCGGATCGAAGGACCATTTTTGGTTTTCAAGTTCATATTGTATGAGTCTGCTATGAAGCATACAATCTGAATGCCATGATGTACAAACAGTAAGTTCCGGACTGCTTCGGCTACAGGACACTGCTTTTCTTCCGAAGGTCGCGGGTTCGATTCCTCGCACGTTACAAATATTTGTATTCATGAATATGATTGTTTATATCGGGCTGGGTAGACATTTACACAAAAAATATCTAAGTATTTATATCAATTGTCTAGTACCCATAACACAAGCTCTGCTTACCGTGGGACTAGATGGCGCTGTGTTAATTGTTCAGGGTTATTTATTTATTAATTTATTATCATTATATCATATAATATATACAAAAGTAATAATAACCTATTATTATGATTACTTTTTACAAATAAAACTTACATAAACGGGATATACTTTGTGACGCAGTGATGCGGCTGGACGGATCTGTGCCGGTGAAGTACGGCGTCCGTATTAGCACCGAGGGCACGTACCTGGATCTCAAGAATAAGCTGTCTGAACTGTGCTCGCTTCCCGCAGACTGGTCAGTGGACATTGCTGTTTGATTCATCTGTAGATACCTACACAAGATCTTATTTAGTAATATCGTCGATTAAATAGAAAAATGACTTTTTTCAAAATAGAAGCTAGAATTCCCTCCTTTTATATAAGTCAATTAAATTAACCACACCGGCTTAATCATTTTCTAAATACTTTTAAAATTATATATAATACTTCTGTGTAAATATTTGTTAAATATTTAAAGGAAAAAATAATTTAAATATATTTAAAAAATTGACAAGACAAAAATGTACATTTTGAATACTGCCATTTTTCTATTTAACCGACGATATGCACTCTACGCGTCGTCGGTGGTCTGGCGCATTAAAACTGTACTATTTCCTATGTTATTGAATGGGAGACGACGCCCTAAAAAAAGATGGATTGATTGTGTGAAAGATGATATGAATAAAAGGAGAGTATTCTCAGATATGACGACCGATAGAGATCAGTGGAAGAGAATGACATGCTGCACCGACCACAAATAATGGGAAAAAGTCAAGGCAATGAATCATGATTACTTCTTATAGTCACGGTTCGATTACTCGCTCGGTACAAACATTTGTATTCATGAGTATGTTTGTATCAGTCCGGGTGTATTCTATGTATATTAGAAAAAAGAAAGAAAGAAAGAAAATTGTTTATTTGGTACACTGAAAATAATTTTTTTAAATTTAATTTACATTTTATATTAATAATTAGAGTACCAACTAGATCTCCGCTCAGCATATGTCGTGACGGGGTGCCACGACGCTGGCTTTCAGCGGACATCTTCATATACAATAAACATATAAAATAATAATAATAATACACATACATACATAAATCCAGGCGGACGACACAAAGCAAACATTTACGACCTACTACCATATATAAATAAACATTAAACATAAACTACACACTGAAAACATAAAATGTAAACATAAAATTATGTATGGTATTTACAAAAAAAAATTGCATCTAAGTATTTATATCATTTGTCTAGTACCCATAACTCTAGCTCTGCTTAGTTTGGGACTAGATGTCGCAATCTGAATTGTCTTGAGATAATATTAAACATTTCTCACATTCCTTGGACATTTAAGAAAATTGAAGTAAATTTACTATTAATCTCCTTCTTTACTATATTTTTTTTTATACTACGACGGTGGCAAACAAGCATACGGCTAATCTTTTAGAAAACGGTTACCGTAGCCTATAGACGCCTGAGACACCACGACAGAACATGCGCGTTATCGACCCTTAAATGTGACTTCTATAAATGTGTACATTTATGAGAAGTGAAATTTTGTGTGATTAGCAACAATCAAATAAATAGTCTATGTATTAGTGAGAGGGTTTAGAATGCAACAGTATGTTTTCCCAGCATGCTGGTAGCTGAAGTGTCGGGAGCCACCATCGGGCGCGTGTGCGAGGACGCCGCCAAGGTGAGCCCCACCACCGCCACGCAGCTCTACGCCTACGAGCTCCCCCCGCACCGGACCGGGGCCGGGCCCGGGGCCGGGGACGACAGCGACGACGACCACTGCGACTGCTGCGGCGACTGCGACGGCGACGACGACCCCACGCACAACGGTCAGCGACTGTTTCTGGTTTTTTCTAGAACTTTTTCAGTTTTTTTCAAAACTAGACATACTATATTATCTGTTCGGACTGTAGTACAAAGATTTTTTGGTAGTATTATAGTAATTATTATTATTATTATTATTAGATCTGAAATTATGTTTATCTGTTTGTTACCACTTCACGGTTAAATAGCTAATCGGATTTTAATAACTTTGAATAGTTGTATGGTATTAGGATGATGTATTTAGTTTATTTTTTATATCTTAAAAATATATTTAATTTTGATACAAGGACAAATGGTTTAATAAATATAGGTATAGGTTATCTAATCTAATAGATATAGGTTATGTTAGATGTTTTTTGTTTGTACCTAAGCACATATTTACTGCAACATTTAATTTTACCACCTTGTTCTCTGGTTCAAACTACCCACATATAATTTGATATTTTTATTTTTATTTTTTTTATGATGGTAGATAAATATCACTGTGGAGAGATTGGGTGTGTCCTGTTACGTAGAAACAGTACTATTGTTTTTCCTCGCAATAAAATCAAATATAAAAGTTAATCCTTGACTTTTCAATAATCTCGCCTTTGAAAACGTAATAAAAGTTTCAATTATCTTTTATCTAAATACAAAGGGGTAAAATAAGGTCGGACAGTTTGGGTAGAAGAAACTGCGGGTGAATGGTAGTTTGATATATTTAGGAAATTTGTTTCGTAGTGTTCTGTTTTGTTCTGTTTTGATGATATTATTTAACAAAATTTTATCATGAACGATAAATAAAATATATCAGTTAAGTTTTTTTATGTATGATTCTCTGTATTTTTTTTACAATAAAAAAATGTATTCTAAGTATTTATGTCGTTTATCTAGTATTTATAACACAAGCACTGCTTAACTTGGGACTAGATGGCGCTGTGTGAATTGTTCAGGGATCTTACTATTAATTTTGGGTTTCATTAGCATTACGAACAGAATTGTGGGCTTAAACTCCCACAGCATTGCAGTTTCATATATAAAATGTAAACGTGTAACGTGATTCGTTTGTTTGTCGGTTGCGGATGGCAGAGTGTTGGTGGGAGGGCAGCCCGCGCGCGGAGGTGAGTGTGGGAGGCGGCGGCCCGTCCTCACTGTGCATGCCCGCACTCTTCTGCTTCAAGGTTAGCTCGGACCACGCGCACGCAACCCGCACACCTCCATACATACACGCGCATACACGCACACGGACTCCTCGTTACACAAACACGCACACAGGCACGTACATACGCACGCACGCACGCACGCACACGTATATACACACACGGACACCTACATACAAAGACACACGCCCACAGACACGTCCATAAACACGCACGCACACATGCGTACATACATACACGCAAGCACTCAGAATACAAATCTTTGCAACATGCGAGGATAGAACACGCGACCGTCGGAATGTCTAAACCGCTCTACTACCGAAGCTGCTACTACTTAAACACTAGATGAGCTAGCATTCAATGTTTAGTATTTATTAGTACCTAGTGCTGTTTTTATTGTTTTTTTTTTAATCATTAAAATATAAATTTACTAGGTGTCCCGGCAAACGTTGTTTTGCCATATAAATTAATAACGCTGTAAAAAAATAGGGGTTGATGATAGAAGGGTGAAAATTTAGGATTGTATGTATTTTTGTATGTTGTATCATAAAAAAAAAGAAACTAAAAATTTTGTCTACTAAATAAAAAATTTAGGGGTGGTTCTACCCCTAACATTTAGAGGGATGAAAAATATATGTTGGCCGATTCTCAGACCTACTCAATACGCTCACAAAATTTGATGACAATCGGTCAAGCCGTTTCGGAGGTGTATGGGAACGAAAACTGTGACACGAGAATTTTATATATATAAGATTTATTACAATATCATTTGCTATTACGAATATACAACACAAATCAAGTCCAACACACTCTCTCTTTCTAACTATCTTAATACTCTGTATGTGGGAATGGGACATAACTATTAGATCAATTAATCAGAAATACTTAAAGAATCAATTAGACAGAAATACTTTAAGAACGTTCATACCGTAGTTTTGTTAGAAATTAAAATGTTGATAATAATTTATCTACATTTATTCAAATCAAATCAAAAATAATTTATACATGTAAGACATTTTAGCCGCTTATGAACGTCAAGTTTTTACAAATAGAATAGGAAGAATCTAGATGGCGCTGTGTTATTATGCATTATTATTGTACACCTAGAAGCACACTATACGGCAATAATGCTTTAAAATTACAATTGACACAAATATTTATTGCTATTACAATAAAATCTATTTTTCCGCATCTAAATAATATATAGAAATTGGAGTCGTCCCTTAACAACATTTGCTGTGGCAAGAGCTTGGCTCTCAAATTATTAATGTATTAGGAATTACCTCTAAATTTAATTAAATAAAAGAAACTTATAACAAATCGTATAATTAATTTTAACAAAATCAGTACAAGAACTTATAAAGCAAATACGGTATGATACGGAGATTCGTTCGAGAGCACGTCTGTCGACCAAAAGAGGCCGCACACTTTTTTTTTTCGGACTACACTAATGCTGTTGGCTGCAGCTGGCCTTTACAGCTTCACCGGACGTTAGGGGGCGAGTGCAGATGGCACTCCAAACCCGCGGAAGGACTTATGGAGCGGCTGAAGGCGAACTCCTGCCTGACGGATACGACTTTAGTCTGAGGGCACCACTAGGGGTTCGAACCTCGGCTCAGGCCGTTGTAATTTCGATCCCCGATTGAATTGGACGGGGGATCTATCGGAGGGGCGCCGGTGTGGAGCGCCCAGGCGCGCGCAGGCGCCCGGTTGAATGCGCGATATTGTGTGCTTGAGGTCGTCGTCTTCGCCGGCGAGGACGGTGTCGTGTGTGTGTGTGTAAAAGTGTGGTCGGGGTGGAATGGGTGGGCCCGTGGGGAGGTTACCTGCCGTTATGGGGTCGTCGGGGTCAATAAGAACGCGCCTCGGGCGACGTTGTCGCGTATGTTGGATATTACTCCTCGGGCGTAGTCGACCGCACTGACTATAAGCGGGTTAGGGTGGGATTGGGCAGAGTCGAAGTAGCGTCGAGACGCTTCCTTCATAAACTGCTTGATGAAGGGCAGATTAAGATCGCGGTGGAGATCTACGCTGCGAACGAACCACGGCGCACCGGTGGCTCGACGCAGAAACCTATTCTGTATGATCTGTAGTCTGATTAAACAGTAGGGTATGTGGGCGAATACGGGACTGGCGTAAGTCATGATGGGAGGTCGAACACCAGGTTGCAGCCTTTTATAGACGCGCCGCACGACGGTGGCGCCACCAACGGAAGTTACAGCTAACAAATGAATAAAACAAACTTTTATTAATACTATAAAGACACCGTGGATATCATGACTTTATACAATTGCGGGGGCACCACTCTAGTGTTTACCAACCAGAATTACCATTCACCACCTGAGGCGGCTCTCCAAAATCTTCTCCAGTATAGTATAGTCTTTGTATTCACACGTTTCGAATTAAAAATGTAAAGTTACAACGATTATAGAGCAACACACAAGTTTCTCGCTCATTCTTCTGCTAATGAGCTCTCCGAATGAGCGGTAGATTAAAAAAATGATAACTATGACTATTCAAAAGTGCTTAAATTAGGTTTATTTGAATAAATGATTATCTATTCTATTCTATTCTATTCTATATGTGCGTCACCTTAAAAATAATTAATAAAAAATAAATCAATCCTCCATTAAAAAAAAAAGAATGTGTCCTTTACATTGAGATATTTTTTCATGAACGCTCTTAAACGTTTAATTGAATTATAATCTTTAAATGGCTAACATATGGTATTGGTAATTAACATATAGTTGTATAAATATAATATTAATAATATAATAATAAATAATTATAATAATGCAACATTTCTAACCTACGATGTATTAACCTAACAGTACAATGTGTGAATAATGTATATATACACAATTTAACATAAAAATAATTAAATGTATATATATTTTATATCAAATGTCAATTATCAGATATGTCGTTTTGTGTGAATCTGATATATTTTAAAATTTACGTACATATACTAGTGTTTCAAGAAAAAATACATTTTTGTCGTTTCCGTACAAATAGTAATTTTTACAGTATTAAGCTACAAACCAACATTTTTTTCTTCCAAACAGCTACATAATTTAAATATGTGTTTGTTTTATGATATAAGATACTATAAAAAGGTCATTTGTTTTATAAAATTTTTTGAAAAATAAAAACATCTATTTTGATACAACAACTATATATTCATTAATATCTATGCTTTATTAATTTTGTGTTAATACGGTTTAAATAAACACTAGAATAACACACTTGAATGACCTATAAAAATGGGTAATTAATATTAATTTCCGATAGTGCCACAACCTTATTTAAAAATGCAAAAAAACCTGCCAACATCAGAAACGTCAAATTATCCCCGAGATTAAAAAACAGACTATAAGCTGTAATTTTAAAAGACAATTTTAAATGTCATATAAGTGTGAAGCATACGAAGTCACGCGAGTCAGTTAGTATTAAATATTTTTATAAACACCTATAATATTTATTTTAATAATATATAGTATTTATTTTTGTGAATATAGTATATAGGTTTTAAATATGCTTGCATATGTTTTTGATCTAAAACACTGCGTATTTCTCTGCTCAGGTTTATAAAGGGTAAAAACCAATAATTATAGTGAAGAATTCCCAATGAAGCGATATAGAAAGTTAGAAATGTTTTTGTGATCTTCAATCTAGCTTATATAATACGACTTTATCTACACGGACTTTCATCCCCTATTTCACACCCTTCCAGATGATTTTTTGAAGTAAAATATTGTTATATGACTGTCCACTTAAAATAATAAATAACCCTGGACAATTAAGACAGCGCCATCTAGGCCAAAGCTAAGCAGAGCTTGTGTTATGGGTACTAAATAACTGATACATATTATTTTTTCTTAAATACATACATATTATACATAAGAAACACCCAGACCGATACACACAATCATAGTCATGATTTTTCTATGTATAATATGTATGATTTTGCGAAAAAAAAAGCTATGTATTTGTATCAGTTATCTAGTAACCATAACACTAGGATCTAGATGGCGCTGTGTGTATTGTCCGGATATTATTATTATTATATATAAAAGTTTGTGCAGTGCGAGGAATCGAATCCGCGACCATCGTAAAGGACGTAAAGCGGTTCCACAAAACGGAAAGTACATGTAACCATTGAAGTACATGTAACCACTAGTTACATGTACTTTCCATTTTGTGGAACATTTCGTGGAACTTTCTATTTTGTTTCTCAGCGAAAGTGATTCAACTTACGAGCATTCTACCTGGCTTGGTATATACCCTTTATAAATATATCTAGCATTTATTCTTGTATATATATATTTGCGCTTACACACTATTTGTTTTTGTAAAATATTACATATTTCTATAGCAGTAAAGTTCAATTTAGAATATCATTCACGCACACATTTCACATTGTTACTACTGTGACGTTGCTACGCTGTAGATAGTGCATCTTTGTTGTGTATATACAATTAAAAGTGTTCTCTATTTGTATTATATTAGAGTTATATTTGCGTTAGCATGAAGCGCTGGAAGTTGGTTTAAATGATTTACTTCTCTATACTGATAAGACTTTCCCTAAGTATATTATTATGTAATAACTATTTTGTTTATAAGAAAATAACTTTTTAAATATTAATGGCATTTTGTTCATCTGATGGTAAATGGCAAATGTCGCCTGTATACATGTACAGCATCTCAGAAGACAAGTAAGGTCCATGGTACCCTATTTGTAATCTGGTTCAATGGGTCATTATCTTTACAAAAGTCAATATTTTCTATTAAATTTTTTCATGGTATAAAGACTAAGATATTTTTGTTAAAATTTGTTTTAGTATCCTATTCGACTAAGATTTTTTATGAAATTTGTTTTTTGGTACCCAGTTTGTCATCTGAATCAAGAGAGGTCAATTGAGGTCATGGTTAAAAAAAGGCTGATTTTGTATAATTTTTTTATATACAAAGTGTTGCAGATGTATAAACCTCTATGTTTATACTTTTTTATAGCCATATATTTTAAACATTTTCTTTTTAATTGTGATTGCTCATTTAATAAAATAGGGAAATAAATTACGTTCATTTCTGCACAATTGCCTAAATTTATTTCAATCATCATAATAAATTAACTGAAAAATCCATAAAACTCCCTATGGTCCTTCGAGCCGTATTGTACGAATAACGTTTTAATTTTTACAACAAGATCAGTTCTTAAATTAAACAATTGCTATATTAAAAATTAACTACATTAAATGTAGAAATGACTGGAGTCCAAGAGCAATGCTGCTGGAAGCCGCGCGAATAGCACCGAATCGGTCGCCACTTCACATCTCGCCACCGTGAACTAAACGCGCGTTTATCAATTTTGTATTTTATCCTGTTCCCTTTACGGTATATATTTAAACTATACAAATTTACCGTCCGCATAATTATTTAATTTAAAGTCCCTAGCTTATGACCTTACATGACAATTAAAAATAATGTGAACTTCACTATTGAACGCACGTAAATCATATAAACCAGCTACTCAATGCTCTGTCACGTGTACTTAGACTATTTATTAATGGATCCTGTATTCCAGCGGTCGAGGTCGGAAATTGTCATGTCGCAGAGTCCGCCCAACAGCTTCTACGGCAACAAACTGCCGCCCTACAGCGACCACCCCGCCCGCCCGGACCGCCCCGCCCACCGCAGCAACACGCTGCCCAAGGACCTCAAGAGGGCCAACACCAGTTCACCGACGTTGTCCGTCAAGTCCCTCAACGTGAAGCCGACCACGCCCAAGATGGGGAAGGTCAAGTTCACCTCGTCCCCCTCTAACATGTTCCGGATGAACGGGATAGAGAACCCGCTGCAGAATGGCTCGCTGAAGTACATCATTGCAGTTCATAGGTGACTATATTTTTTTAAAGTTATACATCGTTTTAATGGCCTATTTACCTTTCTTTCCTTGTCTTGCGTCCGCTGTCGGACGTTCGTTCGAGTAGGGTTGGGCGCTCCCGACATACGGGGGCCCCGGGCGAACGTGTGACCTGTAGAGCTATTCTGTAGGCATCACTTACGAATACGAAAACGGAATCCGCGGTGAGATTTTACATTGGTTTTCTGTAATACTCGATAGCGATTGCAGTGCCACTCGCTCGAGAGCGGGATGGAAATAAAACAAGCACTAGTGATTATTTAAGAAATAGAATAGAATAGAATAGAAAATCATTTATTCAAATAAACTTAATTTAAGCACTTTTGAATAGTCAACGTTTTTTTAAATCTACCGCTTATTCGGAAAGCTGTCTCATCACAAGAAGAATAAGCAAGAAACTTGTGTGTTGCTCTATTAAACAATCCTTGTAAGTTCACATTTTACAAGTCGAAACGTGTGAATACAAACTACCAACCAGCACTAATTTATTTAGGCTCAAATATAAAAACACAATAAGATTAAATCAGTCGTAGTGATCAGAGCAGACCAGTCCCTACAAGCAGCACTCGTTCACGAGTATGACGGATGAGCCAGCCATCACTGCGCTCGACCATATTTTAGGGAGCCCAATGACCCGGCCCACCACGCCGCCACACGTCTGGACATTTTAGTGAGCATGACTACTCATTCACTCGACCACGTCACCATAAAAAATTACCATATGGTAGTTACAGTATTCGCACTTTACATGAGGATGCATGCGGCAAACAATACAAAAGCCGCTACGCTGTCATATATCAAGAAAGCAGTATGAAAATATAGGCAAACTCAATAGTTCCATAGGAACTCTATATTTGATAAATGATACGAGTGCCTAGAGTGAAGTGATTAGTGAAATGAGTTGATAATACGCTAACAGAATACCAATACTGCAGTGGAAGATTTGCGACTGGCAAACAAGCTTACGGCCCATCTGTTGGTAAACGGTTATCGTAGCCTATGGACGCCTGAAACACCAGGGGTGTCACATGCGCGTTGCAGACTCATAAGAAACCTTAATATACCTTCTTGAAAAACCCCATGCTATAGTCTCTCGAGGAAACCTCGGCAGGTAGTTCATTCCACAATCTAAGTGTACGCGGGAGTTGTGTGTGTGGCCCCCGCGGGAGGAGTTGTGTGTGTGGCCCCCGCGGGAGGAGTTGTGTGTGTGGCCCCCGCGGGAGGAGTTGTGTGTGTGGCCCCCGCGGGAGGAGTTGTGTGTGTGGCCCCCGCGGGAGGAGGTGGGGTACCCCGCGAGCCCCGGGCCGGTGGTGTGTGTGGCCGCCGGAGGCGTACTTCGGCGGTGGAAAGCGGAGGAGGTGGGGTACCCCGCGAGCCCCGGGCCGGTGTGCAGCGTGTAACGGTGTGACGTCCGCAGGAAGGAGAGTCGCGCGGAGGCGTACTTCGTGCGGTGGAAAGCGACGCTGTTCGGGGTGCCGCTCGTACTGCCGCTGCGGCGGCGCGTCTCCGGCCGCGACCTCTACGCCGCCGTCTGGACGCAGGTACTGTGCAGCGAGCAGCGAGCAGCGAGCAGCCTGCAGCGAGCAGCGAGCAGCGCGGGGTGCCGCTGTTGCTGCTTGGGGTGTCGCTGCGGCACTGCGTCTTCGGCTCTAATATTTTAAATAGTTTGATTTTACGCATTCTTTCCATTCTAAAAAAGAAACATTACTTTATTTACATAAAATTGTAGAAACCAAACAGTTCTTAGTATTGAATTGTGTTAAAAAATATATATAATAGAAATTTTTACTTCATTGTTAACGCTTGCAGGTTGCGCGACTACTGAGCGCGAAACCGCCTTCTCATGACCTCTCTAATCACGCCACCGATTGGTAAGTTAAATAGAAAAGAATTTAGTAATATTTTTATTAAATTAGACGTAATGATAAAATAATTGAAAGTGGTGCGTGTGTCCCCAGCGACGACAGCCTGGGATACGAGTTCCCGTTCCGGCTGCGGCTGGTGGCGGGCGGCGCCGGGGGCGGAGCGTGGTGCGCCGTGTGCCCCTGGCCCGCGCTGTGTCGCGGCTGCGTGCTGCCGCCCACGCGGCGCCGCCTGCTGCGGACAGGTACACACACACACACACACACACACACACACACGGGCCCGCGCTGTGTCGCGGCTGCGTGCTGCCGCCCACGCGGCGCCGCCTGCTGCGGACAGGTACACACACACACACACACACACACACACACACACACACACACACACACACACGGGCCCGCGCTGTGTCGCGGCTGCGTGCTGCCGCCCACGCGGCGCCGCCTGCTGCGGACAGGTACACACACACACACACACACACACACACACACACACACACACACACACACACACGGGCCCGCGCTGTGTCGCGGCTGCGTGCTGCCGCCCACGCGGCGCCGCACACACACACACACACACACACACACACACACACACACACACACACACACACACACACACACACACACACACACACACACACACACACACACACACACACACACACACACACACACACACACACGCACACGCACACGCACTCGAACAGGCACACGGGCCCGCGCTGTGTCGGATACAAAACAGGTATCATACAATTTTTGTTTCTGTTAGGTTGTTCAAACCGCTGCCGCAAGCGATCACAAGAAGGCGCTGAAACAGACGCTGACGAGGCCACGGAGCAGCATGAGGGACGGCGACCGGCCAGCAGACTGTCCTCATATACGGATGTATGTAAATTTATTTTAAACTAAGTTACTCCTTACTACATCACCTACCTGCGAAAAAAAGTCGCGTCAAAATCAGTCCAGCCATTTCAGAGATTAGCCGGAACAAAGTAACAGACAGGCGGTCAGACAAACATTGTAAAAAATGTTATTTTGATGTATGTACCGTATTTATATTCATATGCATGTGGTAAAAAACGGTTATTTCAATATTACAAAAAGACACTCTGTTTACATGTATAGATTGGAACTAAACTACACAATAAAAAGACATATTTTTACTCTCTTTCCTGCCGGATAACTAACCGTTAATAACCGTATTTTGTTTTCCGCACGGTGCGTGCAGGGCGCGGGCGAGATCACGAGCGTGGACCCGTCCGTGCTGCGGCGGCCCGTGATGCTGGCCGTCGACTGGGACCCCACCGCGCTCCATCTGCAGTACCAGTCCACCAGGGAGAAGGTCACACAACGCATATATTCACCGTGTATTCTTTTAAATTTCTATTTCTCATGTAAAAAAAAGACTTTTTGTGAAATAAAATCATCAAGTAATATATTCGGATAATTTTCACAACGCTATCCAGTCAAGTTAAATAAACCTCGTGTTATGATAGACAGCAAATATATATTATGTGTACATAAAATACATATAAAACCACCCAGATACAAACACTCATACTTATGATTACAAATGTATGTATCGGGCGAGGAATCTAACCGGTGATCTTCGAAAGTAAGGCGACGTGCTAAACCTAGATTTTTGAGATCTTCATCTCAAAAGAGTTAGGTGACTGGGAAGTTGCAACATGCTTATGATACAATGTGATATAATTTTATTTATTTATTTTTTTTTTTTTTTTCGGAAAACCAAGGCTATTTACAAACATAGTTATAAACATAATTAAATGATAACGGCCACTTATAGGTTTTCACGAATAGAAACGTAATATAAAATAAATTACAGTGCTAACACGAGAGGCGTGTTTGTGTTATAAATACTCATAAAATCATATATCAATCAACAATAACAATCCATTAAATTAAAACATATGCTGATATTAACAAACAAACATTTTTGAATAATGGAAATGCATATAAGTAACATTAAATTCAATACCTATAACTCAAAGAATTGCCTGCTCATCACGGCCCTCGCTAAAGATATTCCATCGGAAAACAAATAATGATGATATCATTTTTTCACAACAATGCAGAATTTAAACAAGTGAGATGAGCGTGTGATATGGAATGATCTCTCCAGAGAGCTCTAGTTAAGTCTAGAGTACAAAATTATGAGTTTCATCGTTGTGGTCAGCTTGATGTGAGACGCGATGAAATCCCATTCTCCAGCAGCTATAAATTTTATTTATATAAATAATATACTAACACCCCAAAATGTGCGCGAACTTTTAAAAATAAATTGGGATATGCTAGTCACATGACATAAAGTTGTGAGTGTGTGACAATGTAGAATTAGTATAAAATGGTGTTATTCTACGTTATTGTGAAAAGAAGATGGAGTGATAGAGTGGAGAATATAGAATGAGATGTGTGTGTGTGTGTGTGTGTGCAGGCGTGGCGCGAGGACGCGAGCGCGGCGGAGAGCGCGCGGCCCGTGGACCTGGCCAGCTGTCTGCGGGCCTTCACCTCCTCCGAGCGCCTGGACGAGCGCTACTGCTGCCAGCGCTGCAGCAGCGCGCAGCCCGCCACCAAGAAGCTGCAGATCTGGCGCGCGCCGCCCGTGCTGGTCAGTACACCTGGCAGCTGTCTGCGGGCCTTCACCTCCTCCGAGCGCCTGGACGAGCGCTACTGCTGCCAGCGCTGCAGCAGCGCGCAGCCCGCCACCAAGAAGCTGCAGATCTGGCGCGCGCCGCCCGTGCTGGTCAGTACACCTGGCAGCTGTCTGCGGGCCTTCACCTCCTCCGAGCGCCTGGACGAGCGCTACTGCTGCCAGCGCTGCAGCAGCGCGCAGCCCGCCACCAAGAAGCTGCAGATCTGGCGCGCGCAGCCCGTGCTGGTCAGTACACCTGGCAGCTGTCTGCGGGCCTTCACCTCCTCCGAGCGCCTGGACGAGCGCTACTGCTGCCAGCGCTGCAGCAGCGCGCAGCCCGCCACCAAGAAGCTGCAGATCTGGCGCGCGCCGCCCGTGCTGGTCAGTACACCTGGCAGCTGTCTGCGGGCCTTCACCTCCTCCGAGCGCCTGGACGAGCGCTACTGCTGCCAGCGCTGCAGCAGCGCGCAGCCCGCCACCAAGAAGCTGCAGATCTGGCGCGCGCCGCCCGTGCTGGTCAGTACACCTGGCAGCTGTCTGCGGGCCTTCACCTCCTCCGAGCGCCTGGACGAGCGCTACTGCTGCCAGCGCTGCAGCAGCGCGCAGCCCGCCACCAAGAAGCTGCAGATCTGGCGCGCGCCGCCCGTGCTGGTCAGTACACCTGGCAGCTGTCTGCGGGCCTTCACCTCCTCCGAGCGCCTGGACGAGCGCTACTGCTGCCAGCGCTGCAGCAGCGCGCAGCCCGCCACCAAGAAGCTGCAGATCTGGCGCGCGCCGCCCGTGCTGGTCAGTACACCTGGCAGCTGTCTGCGGGCCTTCACCTCCGAGCGATTCAAAGAAAATTTATCATAGTCTACTTTAGTTTTGGTCCCAGCAAAATGGTATAAGAAATTATATGCAGTTGTTGTTATGTTGGGTTGGTATTCGTTATTAAAGCGATATATATTTGTATATCATAATATTCATTATTTAATAATGTCGGAAGGTAAGTAATTTATTGTTACCATTCTAAAAATACATTTTTTGTCAGTTATTTCAGATTTAAGAACTAAATAATTGAAACGACTCTATTTCAGTCACCAAGCTGTTTGCTTTGTAAGCTGTGATACGTTTGATGGGTAAGGATAAAAATCATAAGATTAATAATAATGCATCTGTTGGTAAGTGATTACCACCGCCCATGAGCACTCGCAACACCAGGGCCATTGCGAGTGCGTTGCCGGCCTTTTAAAAAGGAACAAGCTCTTTTCTTAAAGGTATCAATATTGTATCAGTTTGGAAAATCCATGTAAATGTAATTATTAAACAATAAAAGTAAATTGTACCAGACATTTCGGGAAGACCATATCCACCCTCACACTTGTATGGACTAACAAACGAATCGTAATTGCAGATAATCCACCTGAAACGCTTCCAATACGTGAACAACAAGTGGATCAAGTCGCAGAAGGTGGTGAACTTCCCATTCGAGGACTTCGACCCCACGGAGTACCTGGCGTCCGTGCCGCAGGAGACGCTGCTGCGGCACAGGGAGCTCAGCGAGCCGCGACTGGTCTCGGCCTTCGGAGACATCGACGAGGCCGCCTCGGGCTCCGATACCGACCCGGAGCCCGACGGGCCCGCAGCCGCCGCCAAGGTAGAACTACCCTGACCACTCCACGCACTATCTAGCGCCGGGTCAGCAGCTACGTGCTCTAGCTGTTTACTTTCGATGGTCGCAGCTTCGATTCCTCGCACGATACGAACATGTTCGAATGTTTTTAATGGTTGGATCTAATGGTAAACGTTACCGTAGCCTATGGATGCCTAAAACACCAGGCGTGCAACGTGCGCATTGCTAACCGTAAAACTCCTTCATGTACACTTCTTGGAAAACCTACTATTACATATTTTTTCGTATGAATGACTAGATGGCGCTGTGTGAATTGTCCTGGGTTATAATTTATTGTCGTTACAAGGAGGCGCCGAAAGTGAAAACGAAGGTGGACCGCAAGAACCGGCGCGAGTCACTGGAGATACGGCGCCGGGAGCGGCTGCAGTCCACCAGCCTGGCCACCACGCCCGTCACAGACGACAACCTGGTGGACTACCACCACCACCACCTCGAGGAGGACCAGGATCCCTTCGACCTCAAGTACACGCTCTACGCCGTCGTGGTGAGTAACCATTTGGTTTTTGTTTTTTATATTTTAGAGAATTAGGTTACTTGCGGAAGTTTAGAGAGCCATTTTAGGGTTGAGGAGTAGCATCCTCGTAAAAATGTAAGGGTGGGTTGAGGAGTAGTATTCTTGTAAATATGTAAGGGCGGGTTGAGGAGTAGCATCCTTGTAAACATGTAAGGGCGGGTTGAGGAGTAGCATCCTTGTAAACATGTAAGGGCGGGTTGAGGAGTAGCATCCTCGTAGATATGTAAGGGCGGGTTGAGGAGTAGCATCCTTGTAAACATGTAAGGGCGGGTTGAGGAGTAGCATCCTTGTAAACATGTAAGGGCGGGTTGAGGAGTAGCATCCTTGTAAACATGTAAGGGCGGGTTGAGGAGTAGCATCCTCGTAAACATGTAAGGGGGGGTTGAGGAGTAGCATCCTCGTAAAAATGTAAGGGCGGGTTGAGGAGTAGCATCCTTGTAAACATGTAAGGGCGGGTTGAGGAGTAGCATCCTTGTAAACATGTAAGGGCGGGTTGAGGAGTAGCATCCTTGTAAACATGTAAGGGCGGGTTGAGGAGTAGCATCCTCGTAAACATGTAAGGGGGGGTTGAGGAGTAGCATCCTTGTAAACATGTAAGGGCGGGTTGAAGAGTAGCACTCTTGTAAACACGTAAGGGCAAAATGTGCGGTGAACGTAAGGTAGTAAGGTGTAAGTGACACGTTGGTACGGGCGCAGTCGCACAGCGGGCAGCTGAGCGGCGGGCACTACGTGTCGTACGCGCGCGCGGCGGCCGGCGGCTGGGTGTGTCACAACGACAGCTCCGTGCGGCCCGCGCCCGCCGCGCTCGACCCCGCCGCCGCCTACCTGCTGTTCTACGAGCGGCGCGGGCTGCGCGCGCGCGGCTACCTGCCGCGCGTCGCCGGCCCGCCGCCCGCGCCCGCCGCGCCCGCCGACCGCGCCTGCCGCGTCGCCTGAGCACCGGGCCGGACCGGGCCGGACCGGGCCGCGCCCGCCGCGCTCGACCCCGCCGCCGCCTACCTGCTGTTCTACGAGCGGCGCGGGCTGCGCGCGCGCGGCTACCTGCCGCGCGTCGCCGGCCCGCCGCCCGCGCCCGCCGCGCCCGCCGACCGCGCCTGCCGCGTCGCGTGAGGACCGGGCCGGACCGGGCCGCGCCCGCCGCGCTCGACCCCGCCGCCGCCTACCTGCTGTTCTACGAGCGGCGCGGGCTGCGCGCGCGCGGCTACCTGCCGCGCGTCGCCGGCCCGCCGCCCGCCGTCGCCCGCCGCCCGCCGCGCCCGCCGACCGCGCCTGCCGCGTCGCGAGGACCCGGACCCCGCCGCCCGCGCCCGCCGCGCCCGCCGACCGCGCCTGCCGCGTCGCCTGAGCACCGGGCCGGACCGGGCCGGACCGGCCGCAGGACCGAGCCGGACCGTCGCCACCCGCGCGCCCGCCGCGCCTGCCGCATCGTGTGAGGGGACAATCCGGACCGGACTAGACCGGACCGGCCACAGGACCGCGTCTATCACCTCGCTCAATTCCCGAGCCGACCTCGCCTGCTACGTCTATGAGGCGAGCGCGCCGAAACTCGCCGGTCCACACCGCCACTGACCGTGCCTCTCACCTCGTGAGTCCCGCACCTGCCGTGTCTCATGTCCCGCACCTGCCGTGTCTCATGTCCCGCACCTGCCGTGTCTCGTGTCCCGCACCTGCCGTGTCTCGTGTCCCGCGCCTGCCGTGTCTCATGTCCCGCACCTGCCGTGTCTCGTGTCCCGCACCTGCCGTGTCTCGTGTCCCGCACCTGCCGTGTCTCATGTCCCGCACCTGCCGTGTCTCATGTCCCGCACCTGCCGTGTCTCGTGTCCCGCACCTGCCGTGTCTCGTGTCCCGCGCCGATGTCGCCGCTCCCTTAGCGTGATATTTATACAGCCTAAACATCCTCAACAAGCGGACTATACGACCAAAATCCAAACTCACAAACTTTACCTCTTTATAACATTCATATTACTATTATAGAATGAACAATAGACATGTTTTGCCTTAAAAGCAGCAAGGAAATAAAAAATCATCATATATAGAATATAAATTGATATATTCAAAGTATCAGATGTTAATAACTATTATTACGCTGTATATACGATCCTTTATATTTATATTACTATTTCATTCGTTTTTCTTTCTATTTCTATCGACTGTTTTTGATGTCACTCCCAGTGTCTTGTACATTTAACCTTATAATATTAATTTCTGCTAACAGAAATATTCGCAAGCTTATAAATAAACTAAAAAAATAATAGTGAATAATCCTACATTTTAACGATAAAACTTTAGTGTTTTTTTTCAACTGAAATTATTATTTTTTATTTATCAAAGTTTATTCTTAATCGTGCGTATGAATTCTGATTTTTTTAAATTTATAAACAAAATACATTGAATGTGTGAAGTGCGTATAGAAATAGTAAAATAGTTGTAACGATGCATTCCTTGTTGATTTTTTATCGTTTTGTGTATGAAACATGAAGGTTTAGTGTGTATTTGTTTGTTAAATATAGACATAGCGTTATGTGAGCCATCATATTTATATCTGCTAGGATAAGGAGTCGTGTAGACATCAAAATGGATGAAGAAACAGTGTCAAAACCACTTCTGGGCTGTACTTTTGTACTCTAAACAAATATTTTTAATAAAGCATGTACATACATACATGTATATACAGATAAACACGCATGTATTATACATACTAATCTTTCTTTTGAATCACTCTATCAATTACTGAAAACTTGACAGATTTTGATGAAATTTTATATGTATTATCAGTAGGTCTGAGAATAGGTTTCTTTATAACTAATTGTTGTACCTCTAAGTGTTGAGGGTGGCTCACCCAAAAATTTTGTTTTAATTTTTTCGACATTAATATTTGTATGTTTTTATAATGTGGCATTTAAAAATATATGCAACCCTAATTTTTCACCCTTATTTTTAATAGTGATTGTAATTTCAACTAGTAAAAATGTATTTATAAAATAGTCAACAGTGGTTTTGGTCCTGGATTCCGATGTTATATTTTAGTACGTAGAAACAAGATATGGCGTATGTGCTACAGAACGAATCGGTGCGACACAACGCCGCTATATTAATATAGTCCGAGACTGATGTGATGTAATATATTATTGTAACACTATTTACTCATTGTAACATTTTGTATTTAATTATATAAATTAATATAGAGATATAGACATACACAAATGCTATGAATACTTTGTGCCTACAATCTTTCTTGGAAGTGAAATTTACAAATTTACTACGCATTTTGTATTTTAGTTTAGGATGAGCACCCAGGTCTCCTATTCCACCTCTCCACCTAGGTCTCTTTTCAGGACCACCGTGGATAAAGTAAAGATCGCCAACCTTCGATAGGAGATGGCATCTAAAGATTTGTGTTATATTTCTGGTCTCCTAGGTCCACCTCTCCACCTAGGTCTCTTTTCAGGGCCGCCGTGGATAGAGTAAAGATCGCCAACCTTCGATAGGAGATGGCATCTAAAGATTTGTGTTATATTTCTGGTCTCCTAGGTCCACCTCTCCACCTAGGTCTCTTTTCAGGGCCGCCGTGGATAGAGTAAAGATCGCCATAATGATTGCCAACTTCCGATAGGAGATGGCACCTAAAAATTTGTATTATATTTCTGTATACTACCAACTCTATTGAATATTAGTTGTACCCTAAATTCAAAAGCATTATTTATGATGATAGAATGACCATATAAGACTAGGGTCAATAATTTTTGACACCAAAAAAAATAGTACTATTTACAATTTGAAACATTAGAAAAGTCTTGCTTTTATAATGAATTTCGTCCTATTATTTTTTTTTTTTTTTTACTTTTTACATTTTTCAAAGGCTTCAGCCATCACATTTTATATAGACCGGGGGTTAAGTTCCCGCTGAAGGATTCTATGAACCGTGTTTGTTAAGCAAGCATCGTGGTGCCAGATGTATTTGAGACACCGTGATAGTGAGAGAAAAATTATATATGTAGGACATTTTAGCCATGTGTTTAAATCAGTTTTATATAATTTTTTAATCCTATATCGTTCAGTTCACTATATAATTTTATTTGGGTAAGTTCGTGAATGAATGAAAGTCAAATCTACATTGTAAAATTATTTATTCGTTCTCGTTGAATATATTTGGATGTAACATAAAATGAAAATCATGTTTGTAATTTATTTGGAAATGAGATTTGTTCCGTAGCGTGTTTTAATAGAAATATTAAAATTTATTGCAAATACAATGTTAATACACTTTTCTACTTTATTATATAACGCATAAGTGCTAAAATACAGTGAGATTTCACTAAACAAGGGTTAAGAAAAATGTACATATATTTTAATGGCACGATATATTCAAGGCATTTGTAATATATAAACAAGCTGCACTGCGCGGTGTTTTAGTGGTAATATTATTCAGCTGTATATTGTAAAACATAATAAATTAATTATTTTAGTTAGTTATTGAACAACGATTGGTGTTGTCAGAGCTTTTTAGTGTCTAAACGGGCTCAAGTTTAATTATTACACAGCTTCGGGAACACTGTAGTGATGCTTTGTAATATAGTGAGATATTTTGTTAAGTATTAGATAATATTGTAATTTGATAATTATATGTGATGGATTGTGTACCGTGATAGATACGGTGCTGATGTTAAATACTTTTATTTTACAATGCATCTATTGACCCCTAGTTTTCTGAAGACATCAAACGTGTTATAAAGTAATTTTAACCATTTGAATGGTTATGAAAGTAATTTTAACTATTTGAATGGTTTTGAAAGTAATTTTAACAATTTGAATTGTTTTGTAAGTAATTTTAACTATTTAAATGATTTTGTCTTTTTTCGGGCTTTTTTCTTCATTTTTTAAGAGTCAGCGACGCACGTTGTATTTCAGGCGTCAAGCTACGGTAATCATTTACCATCAGATGGGCCGTATGCTTGTTTGCCACCATCATAGTATAAATAAATCAAGAGTTAGTTGAAATGGCCTTATAAATTATAAATGAAGAACAAACATTTTTAAACTGCTTTCCTCACTGCTTGATGTCTTCAAAAATTAGGGGTAATTGTTTAGTCATAATAAAGCTATTGATATTAATACTGTCATCTACGATCCGTTAAGAATTCAATATTGCATTTATTTATTTCGCCTGCATTTCGATCCATTTGGAGGTTATATCTCCAGGGCTGTTGCGAAACTCAGAGTCAAGAAATTTTCAATTGTAAGTTGGTTATTTTGGGTTTGATTGGATATAATACAGTCGTATGTTAAATAAAAATATTGTATAGTACAAAAAAATAAACTTTTCTCGTTGTATTATCAGTATAGTAGACATGACGTCACAGTTTTGCGATTCTGTGCTACTTATCATCTAAAATCACCATATTATTGTATGGCGTCGCGAATCGTATGTACGACGTGTGCTATGAAATGGTGCGTACAAGCAGGGAAACGTTCGTAAGTTGTATGCGCCAGTATATTTTTTATTGAAATTACACGTAGGTGTCGCGTGCCATCTATTCCCATATTCTATTCGATACCAAAGTGATTGTTGTTGTTATTCTAAAATGTTTCCCCGATATTAATTTTATTTTTTAACTAAAACTTGCCAAGGAATAAAATAGTACAATCTTGGTCTACTATAGATGAACTTGTGCATGCAGAGGTAAAGGTTTTAAGTTATATTGCAGCTGAGTCAGTTATCAGGTGGGTTTTATTATGTGTTAAATTTCATTTCTAACTGATTAAACTAGATTACTTTGCAAGTAATAGATGTTGATGTTGGAAGGTTCGTAATTGAAAATTTTAATAAAATGAAACTTTTTAAAGTTTAATCAGTCCAATAATAAACGATATTGATTCAATGTAGCAATTTGTGATGTTTTTTTGAATTTCTAATAACATCTTGGTATGTAAGCCCGAAGAATCTTAATTAATCTCTTAATTGCACCTGTGCATTCACAAGTTGACCAATAATTTTCCAAGAGATCTGAATTGAATGTATAATAAATAACATGGCATGCAGCGATGTAGTTAGCAATTTAATTGTTAAGGCTGAATAGCTATTTGTGACATGCTGTGAGGTAAATCTCGTACGCGTTACATGTAAGTATGGATTGTGTGAACATATAGCATAATATACACAAATTTATTTTGAAATCGTTATTCCACGTTATGAATATCCCTGTGCAATAAATTTTTATAATCTACATTGTGTTTTATTTTACGTTACGGGGCGGCAGCAGCAACGAGACTATTAATTTCTTCTTTCACTTATATGTACTTTTCCCTTCGAGCATCTAAACCGAACTGATCTGTGCACACAATATGGTGGTTCTTTTTAAAGTCAGTAGGCAGGTGGGACTGTTATGGTCAAATCAGAACTTATATCTTGTACTCAATAATAAACATAATTATATCAAAGTTCTAGAACATACATTTTATGTCATAATTAAATCTACTATTTGTATATTTACTTTAAGTTTATAAGCATAAATATTAATTAAATAAAAATATATTGTGGTGGTTATCTCACTCAAACCAGGTGGCATCGTAGTCGTTGAAATCTGCTTTAGCGGGGCACACTGGCGGTTGCTGTTGACGGTAACATAGCTTACCAGCTTCATAGGCATGGACGATGGTATTCTATTGTATTTAAATGATATTAACAAGATAACTTTATAAATAAAACAATACTTACAGTTGATAATCACTTTTCTATTTTCAACAGTATTTTACAATGTCTTTTCCACACGTCCGTTCGTAACGCTTGCTGCAATCTTAATGATCTCATCGCCATTGTAGAATGGAAAACTGGGAGGTAGCTCCCAGTTTTTAAATAGTCAATACACTTACTTTTACTTTAACAATGCAATTAGATAAAATGGTTATTACATATGATAAAGAAGCGTAGTACGCGTACCCTCAGGCAATTTATATAGAAGAAATATAGTAATCATGAATAACTGTTGATGACATTAAAACGGGCGTGGGAAGCGTAACAGTAAGTCACTATTTAATAGGGTATATCGTTTTGAAAGCAATGAAATATATTATTCGGTATAAAAATAACATATCTTTTAAATTCGTGCACAAAACAATTATATACAATAATGCATGTAAAGAATTAATATATTTGCTCTCATGTTTTGTAGCGTCTCTTTATAATATTAGTAGCTGTGACCGCGGTTTCACTCGCGTGAATTTTATAGCCTATATGTTATTCTGATGTATAAACTATATTACTGTAAAGTTTCATCAATATCAGTTCGTAGTTTTTGCGTGAGAGTAACAGACATGCGTCCTTACTCACAAACTTTCATGTTTATATTAATATAAGATTACTTGTTAATTACGTGGCAGCATTTAGGCGCCAAATGTATATCACTTTTTTAACATTTTCTAAAATAAGTTATATACGTAGGTTACTCCTTATTACATCAGCTGGCACCGGAAGTACCTGGCAACAAAAGTCCTGTCAAAATCGGTCCAGCCATTTCAAAGATTAGTTGGCCCAAACAGACAGACTAAATTGTAAAAAATATTATGTTGGTGTATATACCGTATTTAGATTCATATGCATGTAGTTAAAAGCAGTTATTTCAATATAACAAACAGACACTCCAATTTTATTTATATGTATAGATTATTAATATATTCTAATTTTAAAGATTACATATTTTTTTTAATAGTGGGTTATTTAAGTCGTCTATATCCCAAACAGGACGTTCTGATGCAGAAACTTACGTGCCTTTCTCCTGCGTTGTCATTCCAGAGGACAAAGATGCATAGATCATACCTATCTACCTGTCATTTTTCACCTTTCAACCATTACAGCCTTACAAAGCTGCTTCGCAGCTGGCTGAAATAGGCGAGCAAAGATACCGCACGTAGATGACTTTGTAGAAACTCTAGTAAATTCTGCAATGGGTTCTTCCTCATTAGATTTTAATAACAAAATTTAGGATCCTACATTGAATTACAAAAATACCTGTAGCCATGTGTGCTTCACGATATATGGTTTGGGATACTTTATTTTCTTTTTCTATGGTCAAAGGGTCGATTTTCGCCACAATACCAACATTAGAATTGTTTGGGTAAATTTGTTGTCTTGTATTTATAGTACAATCTGTGCTTTGTGAATTGTCCAGCTTTAGTTACATTTATCTGACGGCCTCGTTGGTCTAGCGGTTTAGCACACTGCTTTACTTCAGATGGTCGCGGGTTCTATCCCTCGCACGGTGCAAACATTTGTATTCATTAGTATGATTGTTTGTGTATGTCTTGCTGTTTTCTATGTATATATTATGTATGTATTTACAAAAAAATATCTAAGTGCTACTACTAGCACCCATAACACAAGCACTGCTTACTGTTGGACTAGATGGCGCTGTGTAAATTGTCCAGGGTTATTTATTTATCTATGTTGTGTGGAGGTGCATTGAATTAAACAAAACGTTGGACTTTTTGAATGTTTATTATTAGATTTACACTGTCATTTACAATAAATTTTCATGTAGATGGTAGGACATAAACCAATATTGCATAACACTAAGGCTAATTGCATCAGTATTTTTGTGGACAAATTAACAAAATATACGCAATATTACAAATTCAAATAAAACATAACGCTAATATCTTACTCGGGCACGCACTTGCTCCACAACGCTATGCCACTACAATTTGGAGGAGTCGGTCCAGTCAGCCAGAGTTCACTTTAACATAGTAAGTATGAAGATGGAATGTCTTCGAGTAGGCATACAGTACAGTACAGTACGGCACAATAAATAATTTCCAAGTGCATTACCTTAACCTAGCACAACGTTAGATCTACCGTTTTGTCCTGCGAAATCGTAAGAGTTGTAGCGCTACAGCATTATAATATGCAACCAGAACATGCGAAATTAAAAAAAATAAATTAAAATATACAAAAATCTCTATCACAATACTCGTAAGTAATTAAAGCAATTCAAAATGTGAATACTCCAAATGTAATAATACCAACGAACGAACGTACCAACCAAGCGGGAACATCGACGCGTGCGGTTGCGTATCTACAACGGAACAAGCTCAGACCCGCCCTCGCCCTCGCGGGCCGAGCCGGGCCGAGACGCGAGTTTGTTCAGAACAGCAAACAGTAGTACTTACTACACAGTAGTCACGATTTACACAAAAACATATTAATTTTCGCAATAAATACAAGTATGTACGCGCAATACGATAGATACATAAAGACCAACAGGGTGACGCCACTATCACTTACCTATTAATATTGCAAGTAACTACATAATACCACCCTAAATGTTATCCTTTAAAATATATCAATCAATAATGATAATGATCAAATGTATACAAATGCAGCGTGGGCGCGCGCGGAAGACTCGCCGAGTGGCTCGGCCGGCGAGCGCTGCCAGCACTGCACTGCAGCGGTGCAGCCGTACAGCGTACACGTGAGGCTGCACTGCAGCGGTACAGAGATACAGAGATACAGCGGTACCCGTCCCGCTGCAGTGCTGTGATACAGCTGAACGCGCTGTACTGCAGCGGATGCAGCGATACAGGGGTACGCGTGCCGCTGCAGTGCAGCGCTGCGCGGCGTCGCCGGCGAGCCGTACGGACGACAGTTTGTGCAGACTGCGCTGTCGACACCGAGTTGCGACACGTACAAACCAATTAAACTACGCCATCCACGACGATAACACATTTACATACCTAGTGTATACCGAAATTAAACATTATACTTCATAAACATTTGCCGCTATGGTGCTCGTAAAGTCTCAACAGAGTAAATACATTTAATTTTACACACGGTATAAAATACTTAGAAAATTTACAATTCCCACCTTAAAGAGTAGCGGTGAAAAGATGGAAACGTCTATTAGCGTTGTACACAGTAAATATCCCCGTCGGCGAGAGAGACCTACGGCTCGGCCGGCGGCGGCCCCCCGCGGTGACGCGCCGGTCACGTGACGGCCACGTGTCGGTCACGTGTCGGCCACGTGACGGTCACGAGACGTCGCCGCGTCGCACCCGCGGCGGGGACGGGGACGCGCGCGGCCTACACTCGGAGCGGACAAGCCAAGATAACATCGCTAGAGATCAATTAAGTGTATCGTTAAGAAAATACATCCTTAAGAACATACAGTTAAAATGCAATACCAAAGTACTTTTTCTTAAACATTACCATATTTTTCGTCATTGAAAACAAATATTATATAAAAAGAAGTAGATATTTAAAATGTATATTACTCATAGACAATTTGACACAATACATAAATGAAATCGTATTATATGTTATACAGGCGGTAGGTCGGTGTGTGTGTTGTGTGTATATATACATATATATAAATATATATATATATATATACGAACAGATAATTTCCAGTGTACGCACGAATAAGTTGGAGAGTGTCCCAGACGCGAGAGTATGTTTGCGGTCAGCGAGTACTGATATACGGTTTACAATGGTTACCTTTACAACCGGTTGTCATTGAGGGCTGGGTCTTATATGATACTATAGTTATTTTTTTATTATAGTTAAATATTACGTTAAAAGGTATTACGACACGTCCTGGTCTTCCACGTCTTGCGCTTGCTCTTTCTGTTCTGCCTCGCCTGTAAACAAACCAATAAATCACATTAAACTATGTACACTAACGAGAATCATCCTTAAACTCACAATATCTGTCCATCAATAAATTTACAGCGCACCAAATTTCATGTCGTTGTGTACAATGTGACACTTTGTCGTAACAATTATGTAGATGGCGGCTAGTCTTTCCCTGAATTGGGGTGTCAGCTTATTAGACATTCAACAGATAACTCAGGAGTGAAGTCTATATACATACTTTTCTTTTATTCTTTATTAATTTAGGAACCTTTGTCTATTTCTGGTATATCAGTCCCATCGTAACATACTCTCTAAGACTATAAATTCCTAAATGGTTTATATAAATTTAATCAATGAATTATAATCTCATTATAGTATTTTATCATCCACGCAAGTCCATCTAGTCCCAAGCTAAGTAGAGCTCGAGTTATATTTACTAGACAATTGATAGAAATATTTAATTATATATTTTTTGTAAATTTGTAATAATAATGAAATTCCTCTGAACTATTCACACAGCGACATCTAGTACCCAAACTAAGCAGAGCTTGCGTTATAGATACTAGACAACTAATAGAAATACTTAAATACATTTTTACATACATACAAACATACTATAGAAAACACCCAAACCCACTCCACCATAATGCTATTCATGAACAAATGTTTGCACCGTGCGAGGTATCGAACCCGCGACCTTCAGATAATAAAGCCGTGTACTAAAACCGCTAGGCCACCGAGGCCATCATCATCATCAATTATTGTTATGGTGGTGTTCACCTTCTCCGTCGCCCTGCATGTCCGAGGTCCAGAGGGTGAGGTTGTCCCGTAGCAGCTGCATGATGAGGGTGGAGTCCTTGTAGCTTTCCTCGGAGAGCGTGTCCAGCTCGGCGATAGCGTCGTCGAACGCCGCCTTCGCCAGCCGACACGCGCGGTCCGGACTGTTCAGGATTTCGTAGTAGAATACCTGCAAACAAACAAACGCAAACACTTAAGTTTATTATGTACGATCGATCCCCCATCTAATTCAAACCGGGATCGATATTACGACGGCCTGAGTCGAGATTCGAATCCCTAGCGACGCCCTCAGACAAAATCGTATCCGTCAGGCGGAAGTTAGCCAACCGCTCTATAAGTCCTTCCGCGGGCTTGGAGTGCCATCTGCCCTCGCCATCTATCGTCCGGTGAAGCTGTAAAGGCCAGCTACGGCCAACAGCATTAGAGTAGTCCGAAAAAAAAAAACTATTCATATATAGACTCAATGTGTGTAAGATAGACAAAATCTATCAAAATCTTCTAAGATTTTTGGACTTAATTTTATAGTTATACATTACTAGTGACTCGTCTCGACTTTGCACGGATGCATTACAAAAATCTTTAAATTTCTCGGGTTGTTCTACACTATAACACGCATGTATTGTACATATAAACCTTCTTTCTAAATCACTCTATCTATTGCTGATAACTCCCTCAAAATCCGTTGCGTAATTTAAAAGACAAGCGAATAAACAGCGGCGCCCACTTTATGTTATACTATTGTAAAGATGCATTTTTTTTATACTACGACAGTGGTGATTACACGCATACATCCGATGGTAAACGGTTACCGTAGCCTATGGACACGGCTGAAACACCAGGGGTGCCTTATTGTCGTATTTATAAGGCCAGCTGTAAGGTATATAAGAATCGCATTATGTGAGAGAGACGAATGATTAACGAATGTGCGAGCGAGAGAAGCTACAGTTATTACAAAAAGTGACTCCATAAGGAAGTCCCCTTTTTATTTGACGCTACGGACAGTATCACTGCTGCATATTGAATTATTATTACCATTACGTTTAAAAGCGATAATAAAATTAAATGGCATCAACATTTCAGGAAGATGAGTCAAAATTAACAGCTATATAAATTCTCAAACGCTACAAGATCGTCAACTCCCCTGAGTCATAAAAATATTAGGACGTCTTCTAAAACAATTTCACCAGACACAGAAAACCGTTAACCCAACAAAACATTTTAATATTTATAATTATTTGTAGATTTCAATTTTTATTATTATTATAGTTAAAGTAACATTCGAGGGTTATATTTAATATTCATAACATAAATACTAGATATAAACACAAACTTGCTGTTCTAAGTATCGTTTAGAAAAAGTCAATGGGTCTTTTATGGGAATGGGTATATAAATTTACAATAAGATACCAAAGAATATACTGAAATTAGCTTTAAATAAGTTAAAAACATCTGTTAAATTGTATTTAGCTGTTGTTATTAAGCCAATGCCAATCCTATGGGTATACTGGACTTATGATGACGGCTTTGAATCCGGCTACCGGAAGGGAAGTAGCGCGTACATTTAATACTTCATTAGTACTAAACACAAACTACCTTTCGTTAAAATCTTTTAAAATATCGGTTTTTTTTTTTCAACTATAATTATATGAACCCTAACAATAATAAACAATTGATTTGTTTTTTTTTTATGGAAAACATATTAACGTCGTGAACATAATAATAAAATTATAAAATATAAGCAAAGTAATATACAGAAAACTGATAAAAACTCTACAAAATTATTTAAAATTGGCATAATAATCAACTTTAATATAAATTGACAAATTAAGACACCATTGACACTTCTCTGAATTAGTTGTTAATTACAGTTCATACACTCGACAAATAACAGTAATACCAAACAAACCGTGGCGTTTAAACCAACATTCTAGTATTAACATTTCAAGTAAATATAAATAGTATTCTATATAAATTTACACACAAATTTTACTATTTATATTATTCATTGGCAGAAATTTAAATTCGTGTCGAGACTTCAAATAATTACTAATAAAGAATATCTACTATAGGTATGTAAAGATGTAGAGGTTGTTAGATATTAAATATTAGGTTGTTCGGAAAGTAGTTTCGTTTTTTCCCGACGAAGGATTTAATTGCATTTTTTGCACCCAACTTCACACTTAAACCGTATAATTTTTATAAGCTTTGAGAGCTCATATAGCAAGACTTGTGTGTGAAAATTTACAATTAATTACGCAGTAGTTTTTGGTTGGTACTCTTTCAAATATGGAGACGAATAAGCAGCATTTTCGACATATCTTACTGTTTTACTACAGAAAGGGCAAAAATGCTGTTCAAGCCAGAAAGAAATTGACCGATGTGTGTGGAGAAGGTGAGAAAAGTGGTGTGTTAACAGTACGCCAGTCCCAGAACTGGTTCGCTAAATTTCTATCCGGCAATTTTGATGTCGAAGATGCACCACCCTCGGGTAGGTAGGGTTGAAGCTGATAAGGGCTGATGCGAACCGGCGAATGAAAACACTTATAACATCCCAGGCCTTTTAAGTGGTCATAATTTGTTAAATTTGATAAATTTAACCTCAATCCGATCTCACGTGTTGTGTTATACGCCGGTTTTCGCGTTTTATACTATGAAAAGATAAAACAATACACTACAGGTAGATAATGTAGTCTATGGTGTGCTGTCGAGACGACATATGGCAGTGAAATCATAGAGTAGCAGGTATGGCGCTTAGTCTATTAATTGGTTTGCCATTTCAGTAATTCCACGATATGAAATTAAATTACATAGAAAAAATAGAAATTGTTGGCAGGCACTCAGTCTATTAACTTGTTATCCATTCCAGAAACTTTACCGGTATATCATTACATAGTATAAAACAAAGTCGCTGTCGATGTCTGTCCGTCCCTATGTATGCTTAAATCTTTAAAACTGCGCAACGGTGTTTGGAGCTGAATTTTTTAATAGATAGAGTGATTCAAGAGGAAGGATTATACATATAAAACATGTACACCCGTGCGAAGTCGGGGCGAGTAGCTAGTATGTTGTAAAATGAAATAAAAATTAATAGAAAGTTTTCTGATTACATTCATTGTACAGTATATGCATTCATCATTGCCATATCTATTGCCAACTGGCGAGTTGTGACGTCACAACTACACATTAATAATATTTTTAGCGCATAGTGTATAGGTTTATATATTTGTTATCATTTTCCTCGAGGAACGACAGTATTCAGGAATGTCGATTGTGTTCCGGTGATGTATAATCGGCCATCTTTACGTGGAGTGCGTCACACGTGACGTGGTGAAATATTGCACGCGGATTCTAGGAAGGCGTTTTATTGCTATTCATATTAAAAATGCGAACGTCTGTGAGTATGGATGTATGTTTGTCATTCTTTCACGCAAAAACTACTGAACAGTAATATAACTTATGCATAACACTTATAATAACATCCCAGGCCTGTCAAATGGTCATAAATGGTTAAATTTGAAAAATTTAACCTCAATCCGATTACACGTGTTGTTATTCGCCGGTTCGCATCAACCAATGCCTTTATCAGGACATCTTCGACATCAAAATTGCCGGATCGAAATTTAGCGAATCAGTTCTGAGACTGGCGTACTGTTACCACACCACTTTTCTCACCTTCTCCACACACATCGGTCAATTTCTTTCTGACCTGAACAGCATTTTTGCCATTTCTGTAGTAAAACAGTAAGATATGTCGAAAATGCTGCTTATTCGTCTCCATATTTGAAAGAGTACCAACCAAAAACTACTGCGTAGATCTAATTGTAAATTTTCACACACAAGTCTTGCTATATGAGCTCTCAAAGCTTATAAAAATTATATGGTTTAAGTGTGAAGTTGAGTGCAAAAAATACAATTAAATCCTAAGTTAGGAAAAAACGAAATTACTTTCCGAACAACCTAATACTTTATACGTATAATCAGTAAAAATCAGGAGATCTTACCTAACTGTTTACCCGTGATCATGGCGGTTGAAACACTGGCGAAATATCGGGAACTCGGTAAATAAATATAAAACGTGGTAAGATCCCGTGATTTTTACTAATTATACGTATAAATAATGACCGCGTCAAGTTTAAAACAATCATACTTTAGGTGAAGATTTCTCAAACAGAAAGAGCGCTAAGAGTATTTGGCGACAGCGATAGTTGAATAAATCAAACACTAATATTGATTAGATAACGCTTGTTAGACCGGCGCCGTGTGTCATTACGCAATATATACGTCAGCGTCATGTCCCCACATCACAAACATACAAACATACGAACAATGTAATAGAATAGAATAGAAAATCATTTATTCAAATAAACTTACATTGAAGCACTTTTGAATAGTCATTACATTTTTTCATCACAAGAAGAACGAGCAAGAAACTTGTGTGTTGCTCTTTTAAATAATTTTATTATTACTTACAATTTAAGTTTAAGTGTGTGAATACAAACTACCGATTAGCACGCCAATGCACGCCCGCAGGCCGCATCTTATTAATATTATAAACGCAAACGTTTGTGAGTATGGATGGCTGTTTGTTATTCTTTCACGCAAAAACTAGTGAACGGATCTTGATGAAACTTTACAGTACATCAGAATAACATATAGGCTATAAATTTCGGGCGGATGAAACCACGGGCACAGCTAGTATATGTATTAATATAGTAGATGAATAAAGTAATGTGTTCAGTATAGTTAAATTATAATTAAATTAAAGCCAGTTTATTTACAATGTATATTTATATAGGTGTCTATTTCCAACATTAAATGAAAATCCCGTGCATGAACAACTATTGCCATGCACGCTCGTCATTCAAGTAATTGTTTAGTGCGTAATAGGCTTTGCTCAGTAAATATGATTTAACAGTTTTTCTTTTACCATTTTATGATTTAACAGTTACTATTTATCGAAGGTATACCAATATATCCTTTGGTATCTTATTGTAAATTTTTATACCTATTCCCATAAAAGACTTATTGACTATTTTTAAACGATGCATGGGGACAACATGTTTGTCTTTATATCAATCTTAAATGATATATTACAATGGGATCCTTAGTCCACATTACTAACAATCACAATCTCTATCCAACCAATCCAATTAGTTGTATTATTTAACTTACTTATTTGTTACTAGCTACCACCCCAGACTGCGCACGGGTGTACATGTATATACATATAAACCTTCCTTTTGAATCACTCTATCTGTTAAAAAATCGCTTCAAAATCCGTTGCGTAGTTTTAAAGATTTAAGCATACATAGGGACGGACAGACAGCAACAGCGACTTTGTTTTATACTATACTAATGACTAGTTATAAATTTTTATATCTATTTTTTTATACTACTATGGTGGCAACCAGGCATACGGCCCATCTGATGGTAAATGTTTACCGTAGCCTATGGACGTTTGAAACACCAGGGGTGTCTGATTCGAGTTGCCGACCCTTAAGAAACCTTAATATACCCAAACTTAATATACCATTACATAATCCATATTACAAACGATAATTACGTTTATGCGCTAAACAAAATTACTACATCGTATCACCGTGTACTGAACCAATTTGAATATTTAAATGGAAATGCAAATATCGTGCGACACTGTAATAATTTTAAAGGTATAGATAGATAGACGTACAAGTCATAAGTACCACAATTTATGTGAAAACTACCTACTTACCTAGTTGGTAGGTTGATATTACAAAAGCTATTTATTGACATCGTACCATCTAACTGCATTCACAATGTTGCTTTTACCAATCATATAATAATATGTATGAACAATTCACACAGCATCATTTAGTGTCAAGTTAAGTAGAGCTCGTTTTATAGGTACTATACAACGGATATAAATACATAGATATATTTTTTATTTAAATGCATACATAATACACAGAAGACACCCACCCATACAAACTTCGGACGAAACTGCAGCGCACCCCCAGCGTCTAAATGCCACGTAAACCTACTTTCCATCGGGTGGTCTTTCAACACTATTTCTAGTCTGGTAACTAAATCTCATGAACAATTCGGACAAAACTGCGACACATAATACCTAGGGTCTAAATGAGATAACAACTACTTTCCATCAAGTGGTCTCTCAGCACTATTTCTAGTCCGGTAACTGAATCACATGAATAATTCAGACAAAATTGCGACGCACACCTAGCGTCTACATGTGATGACAACCACTGTCCATCTGGTGGTCTTTCAACACCATTTTTAGTCCAGTGACGTAATCACATGTAAAATTTGGACGAAACTCCGGCGCAGTCCTAGCCATTATATGCGACAACCACTTTCCCTCAGGTGGTGTTTTAGCACTATTTCTAGATCAGCATACATCACATATAAACTTCGGACAAACCTTTTTCGTCCGGTGAAGCTGTAAAGGCCAACAGCAATAGAGTAGGCCAACAGCAATAGAGTAGTCCGAAAAAAACCTAGGGTCTACATGTGACGACAACCACTTTCCATCTGGTGGTCTTTCAGCACTAATTTTAGTCCAGTGCCCTAAACGTTTTTAGCACTATTTCTAGTTCAGTGACATAATGAACTACACACTGCACTATTTCTAGTATACTGACTTAAACACATGTAATTTTCGGGCAAAACTGCGACGCACACCTAGCGTCTACATGTGACGAGAACCACTTTCCATCTGGTGGTCTTTCAGCACTATTTTTAGTCCAGTGCCCTAAACGTAAACAATAGCCGATTGGCAAGGTTTGTTGTTGGTACTTACTGAGAAATTGAGAGCGAGGCCGAGGCGGATGGGGTGGGTAGGTGGCAATTCCGTCATTGCAATGTCGGAGGCGGCCTTGTATGCGACCAGGGAGTTTTCGGCCGCCTCCTTACGGTCATTGCCGGTTGCAAACTCCGCCAGGTACCGGTGGTAGTCACCCTGCAAACATTAACAACAACGTACATCACACACGGCACATCAAATCAAATCAAATCAACATCTCTTCATATACCTTGCTATTAGATACTTTTTAACTTGTCATAAGAAAATTCTACCATTAGTTGAGAATGTTATTTGAGAACCAAGAACTAAACTCATTTTAAATAAGGTGATATATATAATTCATTTATATACACGACTATTATTACAGGCAGTAGGCATATAGGCATAGGCAATCTATTGTAATATTGAAACATACAAAAAATACATACAATCCTAAATTTTCACCCTTCTATCATCAACCCCTATTTTTTTATAGCGTTATTAATTTATATGGGAAAACAATGTTTGTCGGGACAGCTAGTGTTATTATAATAATATATATTACTGCTTCAGGAGTAAGTTAGTTTGGCATATCATAAGTCTGTTATAGACATCAGAGGTTCCCAAACTTTTTTGTGTCGTAGACCCTTGCAGTTTGTCATATACCCCTGGGGGTCGATATAGACCACTTTGGGAATCACTGCTCTACATTAATAAAAATATTTTTATTTGATCGAGTATATGGTAAAGGCCACTGACCACGACTGTATACTATTAAATGTATAATTATACCACTATACCATTTTATGTTATTATTACATGTTAATATAGAAATAACATAAAATAAAACAACGAGGAAAACGAATCAATGCAGGTAGGTACAAAAAGAAATCAGGAAAACCCTACATTTGATTACGTATCACTTCACGTCATTGCTTTTTTAATAAAGTGCTTACACTCCAACTGCCCAGTAACAGATTTTTTTTATTATAATAATCTCATAATATAATAATCTTAGGACAATTATATTATGAGAAAAATTACGTAGATATAATGTCTAGTCCATATTCTACGTTATAGTTCAATTCCCGTATAGAAGATAAACTAAAAGTATAAAAGGTCGTAAAGTTTCGTAACGGCGACTGAATGCAGGGAGGGACACAGTCTGCTCTGACGTGGATCAGAACTGTCCAAGGCGCGGCCCGCGGATGCATTTTCACGACCCACGATGTGTTCTTACATTTTCACGGCCCACGATGTGTTCTTACATTTTCACGGCCCACGATGTGTTCTTACATTTTTAATGTATCATAAGGCAATGGATACACCCGCTTGTGATAACGGTGTAGTTCTCTCATTCACAAAATTTAATATAGTATCTTTTTTATATATCTGTGGGTGACAATTCACCAGGAAGTTCATCTATCAGTATCAGTAACCGATAGTTTGAAGTGAATATCAACCTGACAGTATATTCTTAGTAAAGAGTTCATTAGTCAACAATACTAAGATTTTTCATTATTGATGTTAAAGAATGTGATACTGATGTTAAAGTGCACCCGCCTGCGCTAATGGTTTACGCTGGCGGGGCACCATTAGCCCATCCTGGTAAGATTCACCAGGATCTTAACATAGTGGTTTTCAGGGGAACCACTTGGAGGTCAACCTGACATGGTACATTGGTAGCAATGGGGTTATTACAATACAATAATAAGATTACCCCCCACCCCTCGTCCCACGGGGTGTGTTATTACTGAGATACGTCACAAAATGGTGCAATAGTACAATATTTATTTTATATTATTTATTAAATCTTTTTTGTACAAATACACAAATATAGATGCATATGGCGGACTTAACACCATGAGGTATTTTCTCCCAGTCAACCATTGGGCAAACAGAGATCTATGTGGGCAGTGCATTAAAAATAATAATAATAAAAAAAATGTAGGTATACAATTATTTTAATAATGTTTAAAATAACAATTAAAAAAAAAAATAATAACAAAGATTATAAACTAGTCCATAATTATATATAATACATAATATTAAATAAATAATTACACATATACTCAATATTTATAAATATGAAAAATATACTCGTACATATACATACATACACATACACTTAAATATATACCTATACGAATCAACAGTGAATGTTCAGATGAAGAAAATTGTTATTTAACATTAGAGAAAGAATTATTCTGATTTAGAGAGAGATATTGGCGTAATTTAGATTTAAACATGAATTTGGTAGTGCTGACGAGACTACAGCATGGGGTTTTTCAAGAAGGGTATATTAAGGTTTCTTAAGGGTCGGCAACGCGCACGTGACACCCCTGGTGCTTCAGGCGTCCATAGGCTACGGTAACCATTTACCATCAGATGGGCCGTATGCTTGTTTGCCACCATAGTAGTATAAAAAAAAAATGTCAAGAGGTAAATCATTCCAGGATTTTATGGCCTTTAATGTGAAACAATATGGTGCAATATTGTACCCCTGGCCTATGCAGGGGTTAAAGTGCATGCGCATTTCGAAAGAGGGCGGGGCGTAGCAACTAATGCGTCAATAGAACGGCGTCGCAGGGTCTGTACTTGATAATGTGAGGCCATACATAGTCGTAAAAGGTATACCAATTCACATATCTGGTAGAATACTTGTACAAGATTTGATTGATTAATTTTGATTGATTGAAGAAATTTTTTCAATAGCATATGCTGGTGGTCACGCTATTCACCCAAATTTGAGTTTAAATAAAATAGTATTAGTATTATTGTAAATATGTACAACATTAAAAAAAATGAGCTGAGTTTCTTGTCAGTTCTTCTCATCTCGAAATCATTCCGAACTGACGGTAGATTTGACATATCATAAGAGTCTAATAGATCTACATGAATAAAGACATTTTGAATTTGAAAATTTAACTTTTCATGCTTAATTGATTAAAAACTGCACCTCTGATGGTTAAAAAATTTGATTAAATGTTTTTCTATCTTTTTAAATGGACTACACAGCGTCATCTAGTCTAAAGCTTTGTTATTAGCAGGGATGTTAGGGAGCTCCGTAGCCGTAACCGAAACCATCGGATATCCGATATAAAAATATTCGTAACCGTAACCGAATCCGAAATAAAAGTTTCGGATAATATCGGATAGGGGCGAAGCCTAATTGAGACACGTTATGTAACCATTTTATTAGCTATTTGTATTTTACTTTTGAAATTCCATAAAAAATTAATATCCGTAACCGAAATTATCCGAAACCAACGGATGACGCGAAATAATATCATATCATATACGCATCCGCATCCGTATCCGTATCCGGTATAATAATCATTCCTAAATCCGAAACTTATCCGTATCCGTAAATTTCATATCCATAACATCCCTGGTTATGAGTACTAGAAAACTAATATAAATATTTTAGTTACATTTTTTTGTAGTTGAATATACATAAAAAACATACAGATTGATACGAGCGATAATACTGTGTATATGTATACAAATTTTTATACCGCGCGAGAAATCGAACCCGCGACCATCGGAAGTATAGTGAAATGCTAAACCGGTACGCCCGTAACTTTATTGTAATTTTATTGTTAAGTTTCATAAACACTTTTTTTTTGTTTTCACTACACCATAGACATCACGTCGTCTCGTTGCCACAACTCAGGATTAAACTGTCATAACTCTATACCCTGTAATTTCACTGCCATACCTTACATCTCTATCTTAATCATAGCTTCTACGACTAACGCACTACAACAAACAGACACCATGCCGTCACGTTGCCACTACTACGAAGTCAAGTGTCATGACGCTATACCCTGTAATTTCACTGCCATACCATTACTTACATCTCCATATAAATTTACCACTAATAAAAAGCACTCATTTTATAGAATAGAAAATCATTTATTCAAATAAACTTACATTGAAGCACTTTTGAATAGTCATTACATTTTTTAATCCACCGCTCGTTCGGAAAGCTGTCTCATCACAAGAAGAACGAGCAAGAAACTTGCGTGTTGCTCTTTTAAATAATTTTATTATTACTTTACATTTTTAAGTTTAAGTGTGTGAATACAAACCACCAATTAGCACTAATTCAATTAAATACTCAAATAGAAAAAATATTGAATATATAACCAACTGGTTAAAAAATTAATAAGAGGAAATCAGTCATAGTGATTAGAGCAGACCAGTCCCTACAAGCAGCACCCGTTCACGAGTATGACGGATGAGCCAGCCATCACTGCGCTCGACCATATTTTAGGGAGCCCAATGACCTGGCCCACCACGCCGCCACAAGTCTGGACATTTTAGTGAGCATGACTACTCAAAAAAATTATTTTCGAACATTATTTTATTTTTGTGACATCTCAAATGAATGTAATATATTTTCCTACGGTAAGTTTCCAGTCACTATTATTCAGGGAATATTACTGTTCATCTGTCACATAGAATGTGGGCATTTGTTTTTGCGACCCTCCAATCTATTTCCCTGGGACAGGCCTGTCGTAGAATAGAATAGTTTTTTTTTAATAAACTTATATTGAAACACTTATTTTTTAATCTACCGTTCATTCGGAAACCTCATCACAAGAACGAGTAACTAACGTAAAAAACTAGAGTGTTGCTCTTTTAAATAATTTAAGTTGAAATGAGAGAATACAAACTACCAACTAGCACTAATTCGTTAGTCAAAATCTATACATATAAATAAAATTGGGTTTGGGTGCCATCTGCACTCACCCCCTATCGTCCGGTGAAGCTGTTAAGACCAGCTGCGGCCAACAGCTTTAGAGTAGTCCGAAAAAAAAACCACACGGTGTGTAGTGAGCAACAAAATTACATGGATGCCACATACCTTCATTTTGTAGTAGAAAACTTTGGACTCGCCGGTCTGTGAGCTGGGGATTAAGTGTTTGTCGAGCACGCTGAGTATGTCTGAGCAGATGTCGCGTAGCTCCTTCTCCACCTGGCTGCGGTAGGCGCGGATCATGTTCAGTTTGTCCTCTGCGCCCTGCAACAAAAAAATCATTACATATTATATTTATGTACAGTATGCAAATATGAATATCAAATAATCTATATTTATATATATAACTCAAAGGTGACTGACATAGTGATCTACCAAAGCACAACCCAAACCACTGGACGGATCGGGCTGAAATTTGGCATGTAGGTAGATGTTATGACGTAAGCATCCGCTAAGAAAGGATTTTGATTAATTTTACCCCCAAGGGTATAAAATAGAGGATGAAATTTTGTATGAAACTTTGTCAATTTTAAACCGATCGGGCTGAGACTTTGCATGCATAAAGCTACTATGAGGTAGGCATCCCCTAAGAAAGGATTTTGATAACTTCAACCCTTAAGGCGATAAATTAACGCGAGCGAATCCGCGGGAAACAGCTAAGCTTTTGACGGGACTTTTATTGGCAGGTAGCTGATGCAATAAGGAGTAACTTAGGCTATTTTATTTTAGAAAAATAAAGTTAAATTCCACGCGAAGTCGCGGGTACAGCTAGTTATATATACAAGTGCAATAAAGAATACAAAATAGACTGACAAGAAACTCAACTGTTACTATTTCGTTAAAGTTATATTGTGATGAATAGACTATAAAAAAAACACCGCCAGTGTACAGTTCAAGTGGAAGGCTTTCACTCACAATAACCTGGTCGTTGACACCGTCGCCTAACGCTATATAGTGTTACAAAAAGTAATGGATACTCTGCTTGCAAATTATTTTCCACGTCAAATTAATTTCTGTTTAGTGTATACTACCTACCCACCCCGGTTATGCACGGGTGTGCATGTATTATACATATAAACCTTCCTCTTGAATCACTCTATCTATTAAAAAAAACCGCTTCAAAATCCGCTGCGTAAGCATACATATGGACGGACAGACAGCGACTTTGTTTTATACTATGTAATGAAGTATAATTATATGTATATATATATATTCATTTATTCTGATGTATAAAGTTTCACCAAAATCCGTTCAGTACTTTTTGCGTGAAAGAGTAACAAATATCCATACTTACAAACTTTGGCGTATATAAATTTTATAATGAGAACAATTCACGCTGTATTACCAATCTAGTTTTATTTACACAAATGGGTTCCTAAATGCTTTTTCTATCACCCAGTCCTGTGTAGAACCTACTTTAAGATTGAGGTTATTTATTTATAAATAAACTAGCTGTTATCAGCAACATCGGCCGTGTGGAATTTAACTTTTATTATTATAATAAATGAACTTAAGACATTTGATTAATAAAAAAAAAGTTGCCGAATTTATAACATTAGCTAATTGCGAGTAAAGTCCTGTCAAAATCGGTCCAGCTGTTTTAGAGATTATCAATAACAAACTGAGAGACAAAAATGTTTAAGATAAATATTTTTATATCATCAAGTTTAGAAATTACTAGAAACTTCGGCAAATCTTTAATTTTTTTTAAACAGTTTTATATACCTTTTTACTACCTAAATGATAATTTAGCTTTTTGTAGATCAATTTGTTTGTTTCATAAACATTAACATTTTTTTATTAATCTATTTATTTATTTATTTTTCGGAAAACCAAGGCTATTTATAAACATAGTTATAAACATAATTAAATCATAACGGCCAGGTTACTTACAGGTTTTCACGGATAGAAACGTAATATAAAATAAATTAAAGTATTACCACGAGCGGCGTGTTTGTGTCATAAATACTCATAAAATCATATATCAAAAAATAACAATCCACTAAATTAAAACATATGCTGAAATTTACAAACATTTTTGAACAATGGAAATGCATAGAAGTAACATTAAATTCAATACTTATAAAATTGCATTGCATTGTAAACAAAATATTTCCTCTCCATAACATAAAATTTACACTTTATGGAAAATCGCGACAATGGAAACACGCCAAACGCCACGTAGAGATGCCATGTGCGCCACTTATTGATTTGTTTCAAACTCGTATGACGGACGGGCAATTTTGTTTGGCGATATGTAAATCACGAGCAGGGCTGCCAACCAACCGTCTTCTTATATGGATACTGCATTTTCTTAAATAGTACTAAATAACACAATTACTGTTGTGAATACTAGATACGGAAGCCATCATAATACTCTTACAAATTTGTACATTTCGAAATAATCATAATCATCTGCTTCTTTATCCTATTTATTTGTGGTAGGCGTAAAGTTTTTCTCTTCCATTCATCCCTGTTCGCAGGCATCTCGTTATTTACTCCCTTTCTTACCATATCATCTTGCACAGAGTCCATCCATCTCTTTTTCGGCCTTCCTCTGTCCTCTGTCCTTATAACCCACATAATATTAAATAATTTGACGACCTCGGTGGTATAGCGGTCTAGCACACCGCTTTACATCCGATGGTCGCGGGTTCGATTCCTCGCACGGCACAAACATTTGTATTCATGAATATGATTATTTGTATCGGTCTGGGTGTTTTCTATGTATTTATATCAGTTCTCTAGTACCCATAACACAAGCTCCCTATTTTGAAATACTCATAAGTAAAATAAAATGCATTAAAATAAATTTAATAAAGATTAACTAGATATTAATATCCCTCTGTCATCAAAATATGATAATGTATCTTTTTCTCTGAAAATTTTGTTATTTCATATTATTGTACCCTAGCTGTTCCCGCGACTTCATCCGCGTGAAATTTAACTTTATTTTTCTAAAATAAAATAGCCTAAGTTACCTGCCAAAAAAAGTCCCGTCAAAATCGGTCAAACCATTTCAGAGATTAGCCGAAACAAACAGAAAGACAAGACAGACAAAAATTGTAAAAAATGTTATTTTGGTGTATGTACCGTATTTATATTCATATGCTACATGCATAAAAAACGGTTATTTCAATATTACAAACAGACACTCCAATTTTATTTATACGTATAATTTTCAAAATGAAAATGGATAAATTGAGTATGAAATACTTCATTTAGATTATTCTGACGAGTTCACCACGAATTTAGAACATTGGTTTCCTCGCCCTGATAAGGGTTCTTCACCATTAGTAACAAACATCTACCCACCCTCACTGCACGGCACGAGGTTGAACTGCTGGCTCTTACAAGAAATTTGATCTCCCTTAAAAGAGTTTTAAGGTAGGGCCAACCCTGACCGCCTGCGGGAAGTTATGACGCCACGTGCACGCGAGGTCGGGCCGCATGGCCGCGCCCATGCTTTTACACTAGACTAGTGGCCCGTCCAAACTTCGCACGAGTTCAACAACATACATAATATATGGTATTTAAAATAATATACATATGAAACTGTGAATTAATTTTAAAGATAGATATTTTAGGGGAGTAGAGATTGTTAATGATAGGTGCTTGTTCCCCCAGGCGGCCTTCCTGGAAACCAATGTGATTAATTACTGGTGAAGCTAGCTATAAAATAGGGATTGAAAGTTTATATGAAACTTTGTCAATTTTAATCCGATCGGGCTGAGACTTTGCATGCACAAAGCTACTATGACGTAGGCATCCCGTAAGAAAGGATTTTGATAAATTCCACCTTAAGGGGATAAATTAACGCGAGCGAAGCCGCGGGTTAGAGCTAGTATATATATAACAAAGGCTTTTTTCAGTTCGCCGCAGCTGGCCTTTAGAGCTTCACCGGGCGATGGTGCAGATAGCACTCTGAACCCGCGGAAGGACTTATGAGCGGCTGAAGGCCAGCCTGATGGATACGACTAGTCTGAGGGCACCGCTAGGGATTCGAACCTCCGTCGTCGGCCGTCGTAATTTCGATCCCCCGATTGAATTGGACAATAATAGATAATAAAGGCGTACAGAATTCGTGTGTATTTTAGTTTTATCTAGAAGCTAGACTGTTGGGAAAATCTCATCAACTAGTAGATCGCAATAGCTTTCCGATAAAGCTATGCAAATGAGGCTTTATATTGGTTCTGTTCGCGTTAAAGTAAGTCGTAGTAATAGACGTAGAAACAAATTGTACGCACTATAACTGTGTCAAGTAGGTACTAATGATTTGTGTGGTATTTTTTTTTTATTGGATTGTTTGGGCTATTGTCAGGTACTTGGACCTGTAACACTGCGACCTACATAGATCGCGCTCGTCGATCGTGCTCGCCCTTTTTCAGAGTTCGCTACCTAGACCCGTCAGAGACAAGAATTAGAGGATGTTCTTAGGAGCTATGGTTTTTTTCTCTTTAGAATAGACTATAAACTTTCCAAAGGAGATATTACGTTTATGCTTGAGTGGGCTACAACCACATGGAGTTTCCTCTTCAGTTTGGCAAAATCTGCAGAGTTTTGTTCTAGGTTTTGTGTGACATTACTGTTTTTGTTGTTTATAGGCCTAGGTTTTGTATGACATTACTGGTTTACAGAAGACATGAAAATTATAACCTAAGAATGTGGGGTCAGGGGATTGTCAGTAACGTGGAATGTTGACCCCATTGCTAGTAAGGTACCATGTACCGATTAACTACTTAATTAGACTTTGAACAAGACTTTGTGCAAAGTCTGCCTTTCTCTATGACCTCCACGCAGTATATAACCCCCTGGAAACCATATTACGAACTAGCTAAGTGCCCGTGGTTTCATCCACGTAAAATTTATTATTCTATATGTTGTTCTGATAAGATCAAAATCCGTTCCAGTAGATTTGCGTGAGAGTAACAAACATCCATCTATACTAACAAACTATCGTGTTTATAATATTAATAAGATTTATCACCATGATATCCAGTCGGAACATTTCTAACAATCCCCTTCTCTCAAACTTAGCATTAACACCTACCAAAAATATACACAAAGAGAAACAATAAAATTCCTAAAACGACAGGAACAAAGAAATAATCGTGTCACTAGTCTATCTACATGTTGACCAACTTATCGGGCGCAAGAACCGGTAATTCATTTACAATAACGTACGAGATAACAATGCAATTAACTAATTATTAAACCATTAGGGCAAGTGAACGCGCTCACAACTTTACCATCGCTGAACGGCG